AGCCTCCTTCAGGTGTGTGCCACTGCACCTAACTGATATCACCACTTTTTAAATTAGTTAAACAGAGGGTCTGTTATCCCTACTTTTTAAGTGAGTGTAAGAGATATAATCTAGGTCATGTGATAAGACAAAGAACTCAACCTCAGTATTGTGATTCTTTGTCTAGTGTTCTTGTGGCTACATATTCTGAATTTACACTTTATTCATTGAATTTAATCCTCCTTTTATTTAAAAAAAAAAAAAGAAAGCATGCTTTCAAAGTGGATTTATAGTATATATACAGGTAAGCCTCCAAGAAAAGCTCTGTCAAGGAGGCAGAACCTGTGAATGTAGTAGGTGGAGCTCTGAGCAAATAAAAGTCTCATTTTGCTTGCTCAGGAATCTGTTGCTGTTGGAGGAGAAGCAGAAGCAACAGTAGCAGAATAGTTTTCCTGCCATTCAGCATGTAGTTTTTGTCTACAAGGCCAATCTAAATAAATAAATTGTTGACTGAGCAGAGCGAACTCATGTCTGAGAGTTGGGGAAACATGGCTGTTAAACAAGAAACTATGCTTCAGTTTGACTTTGCCGTTTGCCCTCCTTATGCTGTGGGCTAAGTGACTGTTAAGTTACATCTTATCCATTTCCCCCTCATTTTTCTCTAACTGTAACAAGTCTGTTTTGCCTTTTCTGATGGATTTTACAAAGAAAGACTTTTTCTCAGTATTTGTCATCGTAAATTCTCATTGCTGCTGCTGCCCTCAAAAGGATTGTGTAAGTGAGGTGGGTAAGAATTTCCAAACTATATAAAGGGCATATTGTGGTCTCTTTGATGATATGTGTAGAAAGTTTTAGTTAGAATACTGAAATTGTTAACTTCAGAATACTTTTAAAAATACTTAATGTTCTTTGAATGGTTAGGAAAAGTTTTACTTTAATCAAGAGATACTAAATGTTATATAACATATTTGAAACTTAAGCTTTTGATAACATTTATCTTATATCAATTCTTTATGTACCCTTGATGGGGGTCACAGTTGTTCATTATTTTAGTACTCCATTTAATGTGCAGAAATTACCTTCTTTTTATTTAAAGAGTAAATAATTTTATGTCACTGAAAATATCTCAAGTGTGTATGCATTAGATATTCAATACATACTTATTTAATGAAGAGAGATAATCTACTGACCCTGTTCCCTGTACCCCATCCCCCCAAACAAAAGACATTGCTGCCTAAAGAGAGATCCTGTTTAGATTTCAAAAGTAAGACAAGAGTACATGTAGGGCCAGAGAGTTGCTGAATTAGAATGTGTCCCTAGTAAAGTTTAGTAGTTTTATTCTGTATAAGATTAGCCCAATTTATGTACCTTAGTATTCTTTCCAGTTTGTGTTTTCTAGTCTCATTCAGAATAGGTGGGTGATAGTTTGCTTTTACTGGTTAGAACAGGTCTGAATTGGGATAAATTGGGAAGTTAAAAGGGGGATTTGGAGGATTGTGGGGATTTAAACTTATCTTTGTTGAAGTACATAAAGTAAAAGGAAGTAAAATGAAATTTTTATCATAAAAATATTTTGTTTTTATTGGTTTGTTCTTTCCAGTGCTTTTTCATGTTTTAGAATAAAATCAACAAACCTGGCATGGTGATGCACTCCTATAGTTCTAGCAATTCAAAAGGCTAAGGCAAAAGGATCATAAATTGAGCAATTTAGCAAAACCCTGTTTCCATAAATAAAAAGAACTAGGGATGTAGCTTAGTGGTAAAGTGCCCTTGGTTTCAATCACTAATACCTAAATTAAAAAACTAGATCAACTTTTTAAAAAATCATCAGTTATTAAAAATACATGAAGTTCTCCTTTCTTCAGAAAAAGTATGATGATTATACAAAAAATGTTATTGTATCTTTTTTTAATATTTATTTTTTAGTTGTAGGTGGACCTAATATCTTTATTTTTATGTGGTGCTGAGGTTTGAACCCAGTGCCTTACGTGTGCTAGGTGAGCACTCTGTCACTGATCCACAACCCCAGCCCCTGTATTGTATCTGTATTTTCATCTTTCTGTTTTATTTTGTATAGTTCACTTCTGGGTCAGTGAAGTGTAGTATTCATTCTATACATTTTTCTTGAACATCTTTTAATATGCAATTTATAAACTCTTGCTTATAAAATTATTCAACAAACCTCTTCTAGGTTACTTATAATCCTGGTTTCTTGGTGGTAGCTGACTGGTAAAATTTTTTGTTAGATTTTTCAGTATCTTAAGTGGGTTGCAATAAGCAATCTTAATATTTTTTTAAGGAAACAATGGCATCTAAATGTGTTGTATAGCATTGGTGTGGAATGGTCTATACTTAAATTGTGCTAGAGGCAAAAAAAAAAAGCATAAACCTCTTAGATTTGAGGTTATATTATGCAGTTATTGTTTTTGCTTATCTTCTACATATTGTATTTAACTAGGATTCCTATTTGTAAATAGAAGTTTCTGTTTGTAAAGACATGAATATGTTTAAATGAATAGAGTTAATAAGAAGGTTATTTATTATTTAGGATAATCAAAGATAAAAACAGGTTCAAGAGAATTTTTACTTCCTTTTAACCTTAAGTAAATCATCTTATCTTTGCTGATTGCCTTTAAACTCAAAGGTGGCATTGGGTCAGCAAATTTAATAATTCAAAGAACTTTCAACCTACATATGACTTTGGGTTCCTGCTTCTGTTAATTTAGATAGGTATGGTGGGCAGATAGTGTGGCCATTTTCAGGACTATTTCTGCATGTTCATTTCATACTAAAGTCTTCTGTTGTTAATTTATTTTGTCTTTCTCACCTGCCTGTGCTAGAATGAAACAGAAGAATTGGTATAAGTTTGCCTTATTAAATTAATATGTTGAATTTTATTGTTGGTAGGCCAAATACATTCCCCTGAAATGTATGTGCTTATGGACGAATGGAAGACGTTTCCTCATCAGAGTCTATATTTTCTTAATCCACTTTTTAAACTGTTTACATGCAAAGTTGAACTATGTGCGACAGTCCAACCTATTTTACCAAGCTGTCTTTTAGATATATATATTTTTTCAATAGTAAGTGTTCTACAAACAAGATACAGCATTTTAGGACTGGGGTTGTGGCTCAGCGGTAAAGCGCTCACCTTGCACATGTAAGACCCTGGATTCGATCCTCAGCACCACATAAAAATAAATAAGTGAAATAAAGGTTTGAATTTAAAAAAAAATATATATATATATATATACAGCATTTAAATGGCCCTTATCATTATTCTCATAAATGATATTTTTAAAGTTTATTGTAGAAAAAAAAAACATGAAAACAAAATACCACCCCCCACTCCCACCCCACCCCTGCTACCAAAGAACTTTTAGATGGACCTTTCCTAAGAAGGAAAGTTAATAAGTTTGAAATACCAGGTTTGGTTTATTAAAGCAGCCTTTAACTTCAGGAGCATACTTTTTTGTTTTCCTTAGAATTATGCTACAACATGTACAATTTGGAAAAACTTAAGAGCTGAATTTGGAAATAAAATTGAAGAAAATGCAAATAGTGATCTTTGTAGTCAATCTCAGAACCAGACTTTTTAGATACATGAATTTAACTAACTTTTATGATCAGCTCTACTACAGTTCCTTGGTGTGAAAAGTTAGCCCTAGAGGTAAAATTCTTCAAATCAGGACTTTGGGATAACAGTGGATTATTGATGAGAATTACACAACTTTAGACACAACTTTGGTATTTAAGGACTTCAGCACTAACCATTTGGTGTATGGTTCCAGTGGATGCCTTAAACTGCTCATAGCATAGAACCCTATATATACTCACGCTTTTTCATACATACCTATGATAAAGTTTAATAAATTAGGCAAGCAAAAGATATAAAAACTAATAAATAGAACAATTTAACTATGCTCTAATAAAAGTTAAATGAATGTGGTCTCTCAAAAGATCAAGATATTATTTTCAGATTGTAGTGGATTTTATGTATCAAAGTGAAAAGACAAAGCCATGGAAAAGAGATACAGTTGTATTTCATTTAGATTGAGCGATTATGTGTATTTCTGTGATTTATTAGATCATCACTAATTTTGTTATACTATGTTTGTCCCTGAAATTATACAGATGATTAGAATTTATGCATATTCAGTAAGCTTTTCTAAACACTCCCACTTAAGTTATCTATGTATTTATAGACTTACAGCACTGTTTCGTGTAGCTACTTTAACTCATGATTTATGTAGTTGCTAGGATGAAATGGGAGCAAATAATGAGATATTTTTCCCCCTTCACCCCATTGCTCAGAGAGTAGTCTTTTGTTCTTAGTATCTTAGATGTATCTTCCATACAATGCTGAAAGCTTTATTTTCAAAGAACTTATACTTTAGGAAAGTTCTAAACTATTATTATGATACTACTCATTATAATATTTACATAGAAGAGTAGTAGTGAGTTTCTTCTAAAACTAATTACAATGCTTATCTTTCTTGTGGATCAGATATATTACTTTTCAACTTTATATTTAACTTACGCAAGACAGTTTGCTCTTTACTTATGTCAAACCAAGACAAACCATAACTCTTTCTAAACTAGTTGTTTTTAAAAAGAGTACTATAATAATATAATACCTGCCAAGACTGTGAAATCATATACAAATGCATGTTCAGTGTTCAGCTGTATAGAGTCGTGCAAGATTGAACAAAACATCTAACCAGTTGGAACACTTAGCTTTCTTTTTAGATAGTAATTTCCTTTACCCAAAGAAAAAGATGCTATTCTAGCCTAAATTCTTTCATTGCCACATAAAAAGTAAGTAAATGCACTCTCAAAACTTTCTTGTTGTTTTCTTCTGAGTAGCTAAATTGCCCACCTTTTTTCCTGTAGGCAAATCAGAAAAAAAAGCCAGGATGGTAAGAGGGCAACCTAGTAGAATTCAAGTGGAAATTTTAAAACAAAATTCAAAGACCCTGCTGTCATTAATGTGTTTCTATGGCAATTTGTATGGTTTTCAGGGAGTGAAGCCAGCCAGTTTTGACAAAGTAGCAATTCCTGAAGTGAAGGAAATCATCGAAGGATGTATACGGCAAAACAAAGATGAACGGTAAGATTAGGTGTTGCTTAAACAGACAACTAAAACATAATGTTCTGAGTATAAAACTTAATCTGAAGTGTATTTAATTCTTAGTTTTTCCATTTATGCCATATAACCCTTTTTAAGATAGGGTTCTTTCTATTTAAGCTATTCAAATTCAATATGCTAGAACAGTTTACAAATACAAGCCAGGCTTAGTGGCACAGACCTGTAATCCCACCAAATCCAGAGGCTGAGGCAGGATCACAAGTTCCAGGCCAGGGCAACTTAGTGAAATCCTGTCTCAAAATAAAATTTAAAGGGGCTGGAGGTGAAGCGCTTGCCTAGCATGAGCAAGTTCCTGGGTTAAGTCCCCAATGTTGCCAAAAACAAACAAAGGTTTAGTGGAGTTTTTAAGTAAATCAGAATCACCTTAAACATAGTTCCATTCTGTTAGAGTCACTTATAGCAAATAACTATACTGTACTAATGCAGCAAATCTGTTCCTTAGTCCTTTATCCATTGAATTCTAAACAATATAGAACAAAGACTTGGCACTTTAAAATCAACTCAACTATGCAGTGCTTGATTTCTTGGTATTGTGCCAGAATTAAAGAAGAGCAAAACATGAGAATTCCTTTGAGTAAAAAGAGAAGACTTTACTAAAGGCTTAGGAGAACATCTACCTTAGTCATTTGTACTAACATGGGACTTTTCTCAGAGGAGTGGCAAGTATCTGATCTCCCATGTAGCTGATTCATCACCCAGTAGGCATTGACAAGGGTCCAATATCTGTTTTTGAAAACTGATCTACCTTCATCGTCTCTCCATACCCGCCAAAAAAGAAAAAGTATGCCAGCCTAAGACAAATATCAGTTGTAAATTGAACATAATCTACCTCCTGAAGAATGGGAGCAATCGGGTAAATCAACCAAATTAAAGAATTCCATATCTTTACTTTTCTAGTCTTATTTTCTTTTTTATAACTTTGTTATTTGAAAGAATTTTAAAAAAAAAGAAAGAATTTAACATGATCTCTAATACATTTTAATAGATATTTAAGTTTCTGTTTTCATATTCACTGAGTCCTAAAATCTCTTTTAAGACCTTTTCAATATAAACAAAGAAATATTTGTTTTGCATCTTAAAACATATTACTCTATGTCTTTTCTGAATGGACTAGTTTATTGGATTACTGGTATTTGGAAACCATTTTATCTAAAGAAAATTGTTTCACAATCAGCTTTCTTGCTTGCCTAGTCCACAAATTATTGAACAAGAAATTGGAAGAATTTGTTGAATAGGTAAAAAGTTGCTATAGTCAAAGGTACCAAACTGGAAATCAGAGAATTTATTCTGGTTTTGATTATATCATTTACAACTTCTAGAACTGTGAGCAAGATTCTCAACTTCTGAGCCTTCATTCCTAATTGTCAGGAGATAATCTCTTATTGGATATTGGGCAAGGTTCTACAAAGGATTAAATACTATATATATTGTTATTGATATTTTGAATCTTTGATATTCTGTGCATTATTTGCCATTGCCAGTACACTGTAACCAAAGGGGTTAGATAATTTGATTTTAAAATGATCACTCTCGGTTCTTTTGTTTATAAATCAGATTGTTATGATGTCTTATCATTTAAGAGTACAAATCTGTAATCACCATTCAAATAGACTAATGAAGAAATGCGTTATTAACCTTGGTTTTCTATTCAGTTTTTTTCTTATAAACAACAATAATCAGCCACATTTGAAAATTATTTTTTAAAATTAATGACATTTTGTTTTTGTTTTCTTTCTTTTTTCTTTGGAAGATATTCCATCAAAGACCTCTTGAACCATGCCTTCTTCCAGGAGGAAACAGGGGTACGGGTAGAATTAGCAGAAGAAGATGATGGAGAAAAAATAGCTATTAAATTATGGCTGCGTATTGAGGATATTAAGAAATTAAAGGGCAAGTACAAAGACAATGAAGCTATCGAGTTTTCCTTTGACTTGGAGAGAGATGTACCAGAAGATGTTGCTCAAGAAATGGTAAATTGGCGCTGATTGGCCATTTAAAAGTTAATGTAGATTTATATAAAGCAGTTTATGGAGTGTCATATGTGACGTATCTCATTAACATAAAATTATCTTGGCCCCAAATGCTATCTTTGAAATAATAGGATTTTCCTGTGATTTTTTTTTTCTTTAAATCCCTTCTTTGTACTTTTTGTGTTGTTACTGGTAATGGGTGTTGAACTTTATAGTCCTTTTTTAAAAAGACGTTTTTATTTGAGGAAATTAGAGATGGATAAGAAAGAATGAACTAGAATATATTCTGAAGTCTATAAAGTTGAATGATTAGATCCTTCAGGTAGAATGAAAGTTATGTTTCTAAATATTGGATCAGTCATTAGATAAACCTTTACAAATAGACATAGGATTATAAACCACTTTTTGTTATGAAAATAGTTTTCAAGATCAATTGTTAATAGGTATCCTGTGGTTGTATCCTTATTTGAAGTATGTCAAAAAGACTACTTTTCCAAGTAGAAACCCTTCACCAATTGAGGCTTGCTGCTTTGCCTAATGTCAGCAATTATCATGTAAAGAAACTCAATAAAATTTTTCTACTAGTGTTCTTAGCATCTTTCAGTAGTAGTTACCTCTGAGAAAAGGAGTCAGTATGAAAGAGATACTTAAGAGCTTTTTGGTCTTTTGAAAACCTTTAAATATTTGCCACATTTGTTTTATCTGTATAAGTGGTTGTCAGGTGAAAGGACGTAATAGCAACACGGGTTAATAATTATTACGTGTGAAATGGTAGTAGTGAATGGAAATGATACCATGCTTGTTTATTTTCCTCATTATTTTAATTATTGTAAGTACACCCACCTGTGAATTTCTACAAAGATGGTACATATTCTTTGAGTATGTACCATGATGGTGGGGGATGTATACCGCAGATCAGTCATTTCACAGTTTGTTTAAGACTAGTACTGTAATTCCTTCTCCTTCTTATCCACTTTTCTACATCACATATTTCATTTTATTTTGAGGTTGTTTTCTTTTGATAGCCTGTTTTTCTCTAACACCTTTTTTTCCCTGCAGGTAGAATCTGGGTATGTCTGTGAAGGTGATCATAAGACCATGGCTAAAGCTATCAAAGACAGAGTGTCATTAATTAAGAGAAAACGAGAGCAGCGGCAGTTGGTTCGAGAAGAGCAAGAAAAGAGAAAACAGGAGGAGAGCAGTCTCAGACAGCAGGCTGAACAACAATCAAGTGTTCCTTCTCAGACAGGAATCAAGCAGGTCCCTTCTGCTAGCACTACTGCTTCTGCCACTTCAGCTTCAGTATCTACACAAGTAGAACCTGAAGAGCCTGAGGCAGATCAACATCAACAACTACAGTACCAGCAACCTAGTATATCTGTATTATGTAAGTATTTTGGAAAGCACACAAGATATGCTAATGATGCTCCTAATTGACTCTACCCCCACCCCCACCCCAGCAGCAAACCCTCCCATGTTGGAGATCAAACCCAAGGCCTCATGCATGTTAGGCAAGCTCTGCCACTGAGCTATATTCCCAGCTCCTGACTTTTTATCTTCAAGATAGTTGTCATTTAGCTTCTCTTTTTATTTTTATGACTATGACTAATGGAATAGGATGGACATTGAGAAGATTGGTTAGGGTATAAAATAATTTTAAAAGTTTCATTATCTTGGAGGTTCCAATTTCTAGATTTCCATATCTCAGTTCCTTAAAAAATAAAATTAAAGTAATGAAGAATGAACAAGTTTAGCTACTTAAAATTGTGTTCTTCTGGTTTAGAGCTTTCAGGAAAGTTAAATAGCATATAGACTGAAAACTAATGAGATCAGTAATCATTGATTGAAAGTCCACAGGTCTCCATATATAAGACTGAAAGTTTAGTTAATGTTCCATTTTCCCTTACTCTTCAGATAAAAGACATCAGAACTTGTCTTCCATATGGGTCTCTCATGAATTCAGAAGTTTACATAAAACTATGACTGCTATTCATTTTTAATTTAGTGATGATTTCTGGAAAGAAACAGCCAATTCATTGTAATATGGTGAGACTGAAATGTGATAGGAAAAATTTGAGCCTCCTTTTTATAATTTGTCTTTCTGTCTATATTTTGGTGATGTCTCACCTTCAGCTGATGGGACAGTTGACAGTGGTCAAGGATCTTCCGTCTTCACAGAATCTCGAGTGAGCAGTCAACAGACAGTTTCATATGGTTCCCAACATGAACAGGCACATTCTACTGGCACAGTCCCAGGGCATACAGCTTCCATTGCCCAAGCACAGTCTCAGACCCATGGAGTATACCCACCCTCAAGTATGGTAAGTAAATGCATAAGAGAGAGTAATACTATAATGAAAGCCTGTAGAGAATCTGTTAAATTCTGAGTCTTTACTATCCAAATAGCAACTTGTCTAAAATAGAAAACATAAATGGTCTTTAGTCAGCCCTCCATTTTCATGGGTTTCAATTGGTAGGTTTAGTTATTAAAATGTTTTTTAAAAAAAACAATTTGTCTCTGTACTGGTGGGTCTTGGAACCAATCCCCTATAGATACTGAAGGATGACTGTTTTGAAAGGAAATTGGAGTAGATGAAGCAGGGTAAGATGTATACATTTATGTGTAAGAATTAGTTAAACTCCCTGCGTGAAGCATCTATGTATAAGATTTAGTCTGCATTTGATAAAAGGCAATATTCTCAGCATTTAAGACTTAAAGCTATTCAAAGCAGCATAAGCTAAACATACAGATGGTTTGGGGGTGGGTGATGAGAGTTTTTCAAAAGCTTCTTTATGAAAATAACTACAAAGTATTTTCTATAAGATTTCTTACTATATAAAAACAGGTAAGAACTTCAAATCATTATAGAATGTTGCATGTGAGTACTCTAGAGTAAAGGAATCCTTTATTTATATTACCATTTAATTTAGCGCTTGTGTTTAGTTACTTATCAGTTGCTATGCGTGTTCCTGCCTTTAAAGTCTGTGTTGAACACAAGTTTCTTTCCCAATGTTCATTTGCTTTTATCTTTATTTGGTATCTTGTTTTATACTGATTTATTTTCAGGATCAACTTACAGAGGCATTTTCTAAAATAATTTATGCTTTGTGTGTGTGTATATATACACACACCATTATCCACTCTTGTTTTTCATGTAGAGAATGTTAAAGTAGCTCATCAGATAATACCCCATTTCTTTGGTTGCCTCTCTGTGAAGTCTTCAGAGAGGAAAACAAAATACATTTATCTCCCTCAAAAAGGAATTGAGTGACTGGTCATTTTATAGCACTTATTTATCAAGATCTTTAAGCAGACTGATTTTCCCCCTTCTTAGAAAGCTTTTAATCTGAACTTTGTGGAATTCTTGCTCTTTGTTAATTGAAAAATCTTTCTTTGAAAACACTTCTGTTTACTCTGGTCATTTATGCTGCAGCTTGGAATAAAAGATGTTTCTTTGTTTCAGTGTCCATTGATCAGTCCTCTGGCTAGGTCTGAAGATGAATGGCCACAATAATGCAAAGAAAACTACTAATATACTAATTTTTTAACATTTTTTTAAAAAATAATTAGGGTAGAAGAACTTTTAAGACTACATAGAAGATATATTTCTGTGTTCTGGCCGATATTAACTATCAGCATTTCTTATCATTTTCTACTTTTGCTCTAATTGATTTTTTTCTGAACCATAATTCAGTTAAAACAAACAAACTTCAGTCTCTTGGCTTTTCTCATCACAGAGTTCTGAACATTGGCCTCTTTTAGACAAGGAAATGCAATAATCATTTGTAATGATATTAAGCATTTAGACACTAACATGCTTTTATTCGCTTTTCCAAAAGCAGACTACTTCTTGCTTTTGAATGACAATAGTCTATGAAAGTATTATGATGATGTATTAAGGATTTGGGACTTTTAAGAAATTTTTATAATTTTTTTCCTGTCACTTTCCAGAAAGAATTTACCCTGGCATATAATAATGCATAAATTAAAAGTGAAATTTTAATAATTAAAAAGAGAAATAAGGATGGAAAAAAATGGAACCAGGAGTAAAACTAAATAATCATCATGATATTTACATACTTGCTACTGGTAGGCCACAAATATGGCTTAAAGCAGCCAGTTTTGGAAAAGAAAATATAATTAGTTATATAGTTCACAATATCTAAAAGAATATTAACAAACTTGCTCCAGACAACCTTACAGTGTTAGACTTATTGCTTTTTATCTATATTAAACCTTTTCTGTTAAGGTGCCTCAAACTTTGTAAACCTAAGTTGAATCTCTGATATACCCAAAGAGAATTTTTACATTATTCTTTATAAATTCAAATTGAAGATTTTTTTTTCATTAACAACTTTAGTAAAAGTTCAAATAGTTCCTATGTCCATCCAGTTGTGAATTTCCTCCTAAAAAGTATACTTTTTCTAGTTATATGACTTTTTACCTTTGCTGAGAAAGATTGGCAAGTATACAAGTAAAATAAATATAATGTTGTAAGCCAAAAACTTTTTTAGTCTGATGCCTTCAGAAATGAGAATCCTTTTCTTAAGTTTCCACAGCTCCTGCAGAATAATCCAGACTTCAACTTTTTCAAATCTCGTGTTTTAAATTAATAGAATTCATTCTTGTCTAATCTTACTAAGTTTGCAGAAATTATAAACTGATATTGTTTTCCCTGTCTGCTGCCTTCAGTCCATCTTTCTTATTCATACATTCATAACAGTTGGTGTTATTTCATAATATTTAGGATAATAATTTCTTACTATTATTATTTCTAAGAAATCTTGTACTTGACCCAACACAATAGAGAATAGTTGTCATCTGCCCCGTGTGCTTTGTGGAGTTTTCTCTCCACTAAAAAAAAAATTGACTTTGTGGAATTGGAGAGGATGGAACATTTCCTTTATGTTAACTGTTTCCCTGTTATCACTGTACATTTGGTTATTTTCTTTTTAAAGTACTGTGTTTTTCATGTGTGTTTGTTTTCTGTTTAGCCTCGTCGTGGCCGTAGCATGTCGGTTTGTGTTCCCCATCTTTCTGCTGTTCCCTTTTTATCCCGCATCTCTCCCAGTGCTCCTTCCACCCCACCACCAGTGTTGTCTGCACCTCTTTCTCCTTCCCTCCTTCGGACTGCCCCTGAGGAAACTTTTGCCGAAAAGCTTTCTAAAGCATTGGAGAGTGTCCTGCCTATGCACTCTGCCTCTCAGCGCAAGCATCGTCGCTCCAGCCTGCCTTCCCTCTTTGTCAGTACTGTATGTAACTGTAAACTTTCTGACAAATGAAAAATTATTACCAATGAATACATCCAGGCATCAAGAATTTTAATAAAAATTAAATAACAGGACTAAACTATACTTTTGGTTATGTATTAGGATTTTAGGACATTAGTTATCCCCATAGGAAACATTTTTGTAATAAGGCTTTAAGGGGGAATAACAAGCAAGGAGGCTATGAGACAGAAGGCTAATAATATCCTTGGCACATATCAATATATGCTCAATAAAATTTAGCTTTTATTGTATTTTCTTCTCCCCCATTTACATAAAAGATTTTCATTTTCTTATCATAACAAAGGGTATGTTTGTTATTTAACTTTAAATTGTTGACTTAAACAAAAGTAAATTGTTAAATGTTACCCAATTGCATTTTCTCCTCACTTTATTCTTTCTTTCTTTTTTTAAATTTTTTTTTAGTTTTAGGTGGACATAGTACCTTTATTTTATTTATATGTAGTGCTGAGGATTGAACCTAGTGCCTCACACATGCTAGGCAAGTGCTCTACCACTGAGCTACCACAGCCCTCTCATTTTATTCTTAAGAGTTGCTTACTAATGAAACTGGACAAGTCTTTTTTTTTTTTTTTTTAACCAAACCCAGTGAAGAATAATTGAGGAGAAAAGTGTTTGGTTTTAATGTGTTAAAAGAAATCTGAGTAAAAAATTAGTGAAATGATATGTCAGTAAACTAGGATTAAAAATTGTTCCCTCAGGGGAGTACTTATTTAGGGTGATTAGGGTGGGACCTTGACACCATTGAATGTTAAATTACATATGTAGTATACATGCCTTTCTTTGGCTTCACTAGTGTCTCTACAAGATCTGTCTTTTTAAATTATTTTAATTGCTGTGGGACCTTGCTGCTGCTTTTCCAGAGAATGTAGTTAACATTCTGAACTAGTAACCTGAGAATCTTCAGATTTTTACTTTGGAGAATGCATAAGTTAACAAATTTTATGACTTTGGACACCTTAATAAACATCAAGAAAATGAACATTCTGATTCAAAATAAAAATCCTCTCAGCTATTATGAACAGTTGTGCTTCTTTGCTAATGGGGTCTTCTCTAAAGAATGAGGTTGCTCTTTTATAAAAGGAATCTATGATAGTGAATTACTCTAGTATGTATTATTACATACTAGTATGTATTATTAGGGAAAGTTAGGATTCTAAATTTAGAGTTTTAAATACAGAACTGCTTCTGGGAACAAAAAATGCTTTAAATCAAGTTTGGCTATCAATTATATTTTCTATTTCACCTTGAATACTAGCCATCGAAATAAAAAAATGCACCGTATTCAGCTCTTATCAGTCATGAGAAAAGTGGAAATTTTGATGATTTTTGCATCTGTAACATTGGTCATGTATCAGAATTGCTAACTGTATTGGGGCAGATAAGAAAAAGACATTACTGTCATTGGGTTCATATTTTATTATCCACCAAAAATCTTTCTATGATTTATGGTTAAAAAAGTATGTTAGTTGATGAAAAGTAGCATTGAACCCTCTAAGATAGCACAGTATAAGAATATAGACTATAGAAATACTTTAATGCAATAGATTAAATTGAAGCATACTTCTTATATCTATAAAAATAGTGCCTTTTAGCACTTACTGTTTAACTGTTTCCATTGACACAGTTTTTAAGTCTTTAAGAATGAACATACTATGAATAAAGTAGAATAATCACTTAGAAAGTTTAATTTGTTCTTTTCGCTTTGAGAGAGCAAAGTTGTGGTAAAGCAGCTCTTATCTGATGCAAAGAGTCCCACAGGTTGATTTCTTTGACCCTGGATGTATTTAATGGGTTTTTACTATGCACATAGTTTCTGAAAGCAGTATTATTTATTATGTTTGATGTAACCATTTCATAGGGTTACACAGAACTATCCAGTTGTGCATGTCTGATGTAATTTCACATATGAATGTATGAATTACTTGTCTTATTCATGTTGATACAGCCTCAGTCCATGGCGCATCCGTGTGGGGGTACCCCAACATACCCAGAATCACAGATATTTTTCCCAACTATTCATGAACGTCCAGTTTCTTTTTCACCACCTCCCACCTGTCCACCGAAAGTAGCCATTTCCCAGCGACGTAAGAGCACCTCCTTCCTGGAAGCCCAAACTCGCCATTTCCAACCCCTGCTGAGGACTGTTGGCCAAAATCGTCTTCCACCTGGTGGCAGCCCAACTAACTGGACACCAGAGGCTGTAGTTATGTTGGGCACTACAGCCAGTAGAGTAACTGGAGATCTGTGTGACATACAGGTCCATCCTATGTTTGAGTCATCTCAAGTTTGCAATGACTATAGACCTGGACTAGTACTTCCAGAAGAAGCGCACTATTTTATTCCTCAGGAAGCAGTGTATGTAGCAGGGGTACATTACCAGGCCCAGGTGGCAGAACAGTATGAGGGCATTTCATACAACTCACCAGTACTCTCAAGTCCTATGAAACAGATACCTGAACAGAAGCCAGTACAAGGGGTCCCTACATCAAGTTCTGTCTTTGAATTTCCATCTGGACAGGCTTTCCTGGTAGGACACCTTCAGAATTTAAGATTAGATTCTGGATTGAGTCCAGGATCTCCCCTCTCTAGTATTTCTGCACCTATCAGTACAGATGCTACACGTTTGAAATTTCACCCTGTCTTTGTTCCTCATTCTGCACCCGCTGTGTTAACTCATAGCAATGAGAGCAGAAGCAACTGTGTATTTGAATTTCATGCTCAAACATCAAGCTGTTCTTCAGGAGAAGGAGGTGGAATTTTACCTCAGCGTACTTACCGAAATCGACAGGTTGCAGTGGACTCAAATCAGGAAGAACCGCCTCCTCAGTCAGTTGGATTACATGGCTACCTACAGCCTGTGACTGAAGAACAGCGTAATTATCATACCCCAGAATTGACTATTTCTGTGGTAGAGCCTATCGGACAGAACTGGCCAATAGGAAGCCCAGAGTATTCCAGTGATTCCTCACAAATCACTTCTTCAGATCCCAGTGATTTTCAGTCACCTCCCCCTACAGGGGGAACAGCTGCACCTTCTGGCTCTGACGTCTCATTACCCTTTATCCATCTGCCTCAGACAGTGTTACAAGAATCCCCACTTTTCTTCTGTTTCCCCCAAGGAACCACATCTCAGCAGGTCTTATCGGCCTCATTTTCTTCAGGAGGATCTTCACTCCATCCACAGGTTATAGGAAAACTTCCACAATTCTTTTAAAGTACCCTGTTATGTACCATTACATTTAAATTTTCTATGCCTCGTTTTCCTGAATCATGAATTTATGAAGAATATTGTTTTTTGTTTTTCCTTTTCCTAATACAGTCTCCCCATCTCTTGAGGGCTATAAACTCCTTGCATTTACAAAATATGAACTGGAAGCTACCTGATTTGCCTGTACTATTTGCAGACCTTTGGAAAAGAGAACCCAAAAACTAGAATTTTAGTCACTCATCAAAATCAAAGACTTTTATTCCTATATATGGTATTTTCCAAATAACAGTGAAAATTCAGTTGTCTATAATGTAAGGTTGACTCAGCATTGATTATATAGGTATACTAAAGTATGAAGTATTACTTTCTTCCTCCAAACAATTTGAAAACAATGCAAAGGGGTAACTTTTCTGTAAAATGAAAAAAGAAATGGAATATAGTGAAAATATTTTTTAGAGTAGGATTAAGAATTAATCCATAGACTTTCTACTAGTGTGGAGAGTCTAAAAAGACAGCAAAAGGAAACCTTTTAGGAATTCAACTTAACAAAAGATGCCTTTTTGAAATGGCATCAAATAAGTCATTATGTATTATATATGCAAATTAAATAAATTTTAGCAACTAAGAATCTAGTGGGTGATGGGTGTATTTTTGTTGTTTTCAAAAATTTGTGATTAGACATCTTAGGCCCTTTTTTTCCCCCCTCAATTAATTTAGTTATTCTTGTGTATGGGCATATATCCTGTCATACAAATAAATACAAAGCAACAGGCATACAGAATAAGCAAGTAGAGTCAGTAACTATTTCATATATTCTTTTGATATATTATCAAATTTATATAGCTTTGTAAATCTACATAGGAGACTATGCATTTATATATTTAAGGCATCATTTGAATCTCCTAAGTACTCCCCTTTTTCATTAAGTACTATATGTTCTTTCTCTTTTATTCCTATATTCTTCCCCCATCAAAGACATAAATAACTCTGAAAATGTATATGAAATATCAATTTCTTAGAGTAGGAAGAAGCAGAACGATCCAGAAACTTAATCTTTACTGCTTGGGCATGTTGTATATTCCCATCAGTACTCATGTTGTCAAACTATACTATAAATGTTATTGTATTATTAGCCATTCTTTCCATAGTAAATTTTCAAAAGTAAAATCATTAATTTACAAACATATTACAAAAGAAATGATGCTTGTAACAGTAAATTGCAGTAGAATGTGATATATTCCTAGAGCCTTCAGAGAACTTCTTCTAAATTGAAATGAAAGACAAAAGTGGTAGCCTTTTCATTTCCTTAACCTACCCATGAGTATAGTCCTGTCTTTATTTCTCACTTTCTCATTTATTTTAGTTTTAACTTCTCTATAATTGGAACATTCTAGTTAGGGTTTCTGAGAACCACTATTAACATTCTGGGTTGGATAATTCTTTGTTTTGAGGGCAGTTTTTCTGTGCATTTTAGAATATTTAGCAGCATCCCTACTTACTAGATGGCTATAGCCATCTCTCCCAGTTTTAACAAGAAATGATTCCAGATACTCCACATGTTCCCTGGGTGATGACTATTATTATAGGTCTTAGCAGCTGATTATAAGAGCTTTTTTACATTTTTCCATAAAAGTTACTGTGACACTGCAAGAAGTAGCAGAAGAACCTAATTAAAATTATCAAGTGATTTTAATTTTCTTTAAATGTTCAGATTAAAAATTGTTTCACACTGATAGTTTTACCACTTTTTCCTGGTGTGTGTGTGTTTCTAGTAATAATTTTACTATGAATCTGAATATTCTAGTTGGCCAGAATTAAAACCTAAACAAGATAGGTTTTTACCATCAATGTTGTTCCTATGGGATGGGATCAAAAATGAACTATAATATGATCCTTTTCTAAACTTCTTATAAGATAGTCCAAAGACCTCTCCTGTACTTAATCAAGGTATTGTTTCATTTTGATCAAGCAAACTTCTCAGGACCTTAAATTTATTGCAAAAGATTGATCTGTATACACTTGCATTAGGCCTTCTATAATTTATCATATTTACTTCTTTCCATCAGGCGCAGGGTCAGAGCCAGGGCCAACTATCTTCAAGTAGTTTAGCAGGGGTTCCATCTTCCCAGCCCATCCAACATCCTCAGCCGGTAAGAACAATGTATTGCTACATTTAATTAATTAGTAGTAACCAAAATAGTTTTACATGTTTCGTGTAAAAGATGTAAAATTTTTTTGAATTCTTGATGTGAATGACTTGCTAAGGTGTTTTTTTTTTTTTTGTCAGTGGATCTTATTTGTTCGTTTGTTGTTTGTTGTTTTGTTTATATGTGGTGCTGAGGATCAAACCCAGGCCTCATACATGCCAGGCAAGTGCTCTACCACTGAGCCAAAACTCCAGCCCCAAGTTGCTAAGTTTTTGAAAGGGAAATTAAAAAGTCATAGCATTTCTTTTTTTTTTTTAAGTTATAGGGAGACACAATATCTTTATTTTAGTTATTTATTTTTATGTGGTGCTGGGGATTGAACCCAGTGCCTCACATGTGCAAGGCAAGTGCTTTGCCACTGAGCCCAAGGCATAGCTTTTCTTGTGTTGGGTAGCAGTTTAGGAAATCTTTGTTAAATGTGTCTTTTTTTTTTTTTAATGAATCTTTATTTATTTATATGTAACGGTGAGAATTGAACCCAGTACTTCACACATGCTAGGCAAACATTCTACCACTGAGCTATGACCCCAGCCCTTAAATGTACTTGTAAACAATTTAAAGTTTAAAACAGCTGTTACTTTATCTGCCTTCTTAAATGGTTCTTAACATAATTTGACAATACAAAAAGTATCAATTTGTTTCTGCTTATGTTTATGACTCATCCACAAATGAGCATTTTGTCATTTTTTTCCATTGTCCAGCAATGAAACAACTACTATAGGAAAATTGTTTTTCGAAAAAATTTGTTTTACCAAACTTCTGATTTGGGAGGTTTTGTTCCAGAACTCAAGATATTAGTGCAGTAGTAATATTCAGCAGTAAAATTTTTATAATCCTAAAATTAAATGTCTGTAGTTCACCGCTAATATTTGTTGGTGGTAATTTTTTTCAAGGAAATAATGCTTTTTTGGCATAATTGAATATAGGTATTTCGAACAAAATTCATAGCACTCCATGTGTAACACAAACTTAATGATGAAGTATTTCATTAATAGTTTCCCAAGGGTAGTTTTTAACCACCAAATTATAAATTAGCTTCTGCTTCCATTAAATTTTGAAACAGTCTAAGGTTATACCTTAGAACATTTTGGGAGAAGTAGTACCTCTGAGCAAGTGAAAAGTACTTGGTGATCTGCTTTTGCATAGTCACATTTGCTAATAATCAATACTAAAGTATACAAGAAAAAAATCACTTTAACATATTTTGTACACAAGGGAGTAGATTGATTTGATTATACATGCATTTACTCAGTGACCAATACCTGTGTATCTTGTAGAAATTATGGATTGGGAATTACATGCTCTGTCTTACTCCTAACCTTTCTTCTAAACAGATTTCTATAATTTAAGCATTATTTCAAGTTTTTTTTTTTTAATATTGATTTTTTTTTTAGGTGGACACTGTATCTTTATTTTATTTTTTTATGTGGTGCTGAGGATCAAACTCAGTGCCTCGTGCATGCTAGGCAAGCATTCTACCACGGAGCTGCAACCCCAGCCCCTAGAAATATATGATTCTGCAAAGATATCCAAAAAGCTGCATTTATCTGTTACTGAGGTTCCATATTTTAAAAGAAGTAAGAAGGGGGCTGGAATTGTGGCTCAGTAGTAGAGCACTTCCCTAGCACATGTGAGGCAATGGGTTTGATCCTCAGCACCATATAAAAATAAATGAATAAAATAAAGGTATTGTGTTTATCTACAACTAAAAAAAAATTTTTTTTACAAAGGAATAAGAAGGGCTGGGATTGTGTTTCAGTGGTAGAGTGCTTGCCTAGCACGTGTGAGGCACTAGGTTAGATCCTCAGCACCACATACAAACAAATAAAATAAAGGTATTGTGTCCATCTACAACTAAAATTTTTTTTTTTTAAAAAAAGGATAAAATCCTTATGTACTGAAGATAGTCTGTTTTAAATGATTTATTATATATATATATATTCTTTTTAATTGTGTTGTTTATTTTTATTTATTTGTTTTTAATGTGGTGATAGGGATTGAATACAGGGCCTCATGCATGCTAGGTAAATAAATTGCTTTACCACTGAGCTATCTCCCCAGTGCTAGAGTCTGTTTTAGGATGTGACTTTTGTTTTGGTTCTGTCAAGCCCCTACCTCACCTTAGGAAACTATCTTTAGTTGTATTATAAAGTAAGGTAAGAAATGCACCTTAGCTGAAATTTATTTCTTGGATATCTGGAAAGTAGTAAATATGGTACCAAAATAGCTTCCTCCTTCTGAAAACTTTGTGCCCATAAGCAACGTGGTGAATTATCTCACTAAATACTTTTTTCCATAGGGGCAACTATAGTCCTCAGGTATTCTTACTTTTCTGTTCAGCTGGGCATATGAACATTTTTTCTCAAGCAGCCACATCCAACAAATAGTACACAGTCTACATAAGCTTTTTGAACTGGTTTTGTGAGACATGTTTAGGCAAGGCATGATGCCAGCCTGTTATGCTGACTGCTTGACTAAAGTATTGATTATTAGACAGTGTGACTATGCACAAGCAGATCACCAAGTACTTTTCACCTGCCCAGAGATAGTACTTCTTCCAAAATGTTCTAAGGTATAACCAGCATAGATGCCTGTCATCCTAAGAAAAAAGTAAGGCAACTTGTTCATAAAATGTATTGTTCACTTTCTTTAATTTTTTTTTTTTTTTTTGTAGTTGTAGATGGACAGAATACCTTTATTTTATTTGGTTATTTTTATGTGGTGCTAAGAATTGAATCAATTGCCTCACACATGCTAGGCAAGTGCTCTGCCACTGAGATATAGCCCAGCCCTGCTTACTTTGTTTTTCAAATTGGTTCTTTTATAACTGCATCACAGTCAAATCCATTTTGATAAAATTATACAAGCATGAAATATATCTTATTCTAAATATGACCCCATTCTTGTGAATGTACACGATGGTTGGATCACATAAATATTTTCATATATGTACATAGAAAAATTACATCAGGTTCATTTCACTGACTTTTCTATTCCTATTCCCCTTCCCTTGCCTTCATTCTGCTTTGTCTAATCTACTGAACTTCCTTTCTTCCCCTCCCACTATTTATTGTGTTTTAGCTTCCACATATCAGTGAAAATATTTGACTTTTGGGTTTTTAACTATCCATCATTCATATTCCCTCTACCCAGATACAGTTTGTTTTTGTTTTTTTAAGTTCAGATACTTGTGGCCGTCTAAAAATGGGTTAGATATGACTATTCTCATGGATCCTAAACGCTGTAGTAAACATGTAAACTGGGCTAGGGCTGTAGCTCAGTGGTAGAGCACTTGCCTTGCATGTGTGAGGCACTGGGTTCGATCCTCAGCACCACATAAAAATAAATAAATATATTTTTAAAAAAACATATGTAAACTTCTATAAAACAAGGATAAAAGCTAGCATGATTTATACAAAATGCAAGATTCTTTGTCCATATTATTATTTATTCCCTATAAGAACCCTATAAGGCATATCATTTCTATTTACTACTGGGAAAGCTGAGACCTGGAGAAGTTTGGGTAATCTAACTAAACTCACAGGAAGTGAAAATAGTTGAAATCCTAATAATCTGATTCTACAGCTCACCATTTAACTAATACCCAATTATGTCCAAAAATACAAATTAATATCTCTCCTGAACAGAAGGGGGATATCAGGAAGTCTTTATGGAAGAGAGATGGATGTTGGACTCTGAGACTCAGATATAAGAATAAAGACTGTTCTGTGCAATAAGAAAAATGGGGAAGATCGGGCATGAGCAGGGTAGAAGGCTTCCAAAGGTTTTAAAAAAGAAAACATGGAGCAGAAACAAATATATCCTTCAGTTTAATGAAGGTATAAATTTTGGAAAGAATTGATAGAATTCAAATTTTGTTGTGAATATGGTTCTGAATTAATGGGGAGAGAATTGGATTCTGTGCTTACCATTATCCAAATATAAAATGGAGATTTTTTTTCCCTCAAATGTATTCCTTTGTATAAAAAGGAATATTACCATGAATTCAAACCTGTATCTTAATCTCATATTTTACATAGCACCATCCTTTGAACAACAACCCAAAAAGTGTTAATGAGCTAAAACAGTTGAGGACAAATGTTTCTATAGAGACTTTAATCTGATAGAGTTTGGATTTTTTTTTTTAAGCTAAGAGAATAAACATCAATTTGGTCCTTAATTCTTTTTTTTTTTTTTTAATATTTTTTACTTATTGATGGACCTTTATTTATTTGTACATGGTGCTAAGAATTGAACTTAATGCCTCACACATGCTAGGCAAGTGTGCTACCACTGAGCCACAACCCTAGCCCTGGTCCTTAATTCTTAAGAGAATGATTTTATTATTCTAACTATGGTATGTCATTACAAACAACTTGATTAAAAGATTAGGAAGTTAATACAGGGGCTGGGGTTATAGCTCAGTGGCAGAGTGTTTGCCTAGTTATGTGTGAGGCATTAGGTTCGATCCTTTAGCAGTACCACATTAAAACAAATAAAAGTATTTGTCCATCTATAACAACAACAAAAAAGAAGTTAATACAAAAATTGCATGAATATAAAACAAATGCAAAAAACTAATACTGTTCAAGCAGATGCTTGTTACTTTAAATTTTACCTCAAGACACAACTTGAAGGGAAAGTGTTGTACCAGAGAAAATTAATATTAATTTTAAAATTAATTTTCACTCCATTGAAAATTACATTTGAAGAGTTTAAGGGAGGGGAAACAATATTTCTGAATTAATATATTTATATAATTGATCTTATTTAAATATGTAAATGAATGAGTTAGATAATTGTAAATATTTCATTCACATTCCTTAAAATTTGAATATATTCAAGTCAAAAAAGTTTTTTTTTTTTTCAGCACCTCTCTTTTTTATTTATTTATTTTTTTTAAGTTGTAGATGGATACATTACATTTATTTGTTTGTTTGTGTGGTGCTGAGGATTCAAACCCAGGGCCTCACACATGCCAGGCAAGTGCTCTACCCTGAGCCACAACCCCCAATACAGCATCTCTCTTTCAATAAGAAAATGACTAAATTATCTTATATTCAGAGTTGCCTTAGAGTTGACAACATGATATATCTTAGGTTCTGGGGGAAAGCTTTATATAATTTAACAGCCATTTGTTCCTGGTTGTTCTTAATGTTAAAGTAAGAATACACTACAAGGATAATAGAAGTAAAGCAGCAGAGCATGGTGTTTCATGCCTAGAATCCCAGTGACTCTGGAGGCTGAGGTAGAAGAATCACAAGTTTGAGGTCAGTCTTGGCAACTTAGCAAGACCCTCAGCAAGTTAGCAAGACACTGTCCCAAAATAAAAAATAAAAAGGACTGGGGATATATAGGTCAGTGATAAGCATTACTGGGTTCAATCTTTAGTACCAATAAATAGAGAGGAATAAAGCAAACATGACTGCTACCGCTGTTATTTCAGTAGTTTGGTGATAATTTGGTAATTTCAAAGAAGTAAGGAATATACTAAATGTCAAAATGCATTCTACTGTAAAATAAATAAATAAATTTTTTTAAAAAGGAACAAGGAATAAAAATACGAACAAAAAAAAAACTACTGTAGATTATCACCTAACAAAATCCAAGAAACCAGTAAGGTAGCCATATACATAATAAATACACAAATTAATATTTTATCTTATGAGCAATAACCATTTATTTGTATGGATATATGAGGACAAATAAAGAACTGTTGTTTGCAACATTATTTTCAAGTAGCAAAAAATAAAAAATCGAAACAACCAAAATGTTCATTATTAACAGATTATTGTTTATAAACAGTATGGATTTGTATATTAAAAGAAAAAATTAAATTTGTTATGTTTACTATTACTACAAAGCCTTGGAAGTTACACAGTTCAGATTTTTTGTTCTCAGATTTAGCTCTTCTGAATGCTTTATCATTGCGCTACATCCTACATCCCCAGTCCTTTTTATTGTTTATTTTGATACAGAGTCTTCTGTGTCTCCCAGGCTTAGCAAGACCCTCAGCAAGAGTTGAACTTATGATCCCATTTCCCCAGCCTCCCAAGTTACTTGGATCATAGGTGTGTGCCACCAGCAAAGTTCAGATTTTTGTTAGGCAAAGGGGGGCACTAGTTTTAGAGCTAAGTTCTGTTTGCTTGATTTATTATAAAATTTAGTATTGGGCTAAAATTACATGTACAGGCCTTGCATATGGTTAATTCCCAGATGTCATTTCCCTTTGCCCCACATTGAGGTATAGCATTGTTTTCAAGAAAAGGAAACTTCATATTTATAATAAATGAGTAGTTTGAGGTATTATATCTAGTAAATGGTAAAACTAAAATTTGAAACTGTCTCATTCAAAACTCTATGCTTTTCTCACTGTTTTGTAACCGTAATCAGATTATATAATCCATAAAATAGACTAAAAGAGATTAAAGTAGGAGACTAGATGAGTCCACTGAAGGAGCCTAAGTGAGAGCTGATATCAAAAGAAAAGGGGTGCAAATGTGGGGTGGGGTAAAGAGCTATTTGGATATAGTGTCTAAACATCTTTGTAAAGACCTACTGTTGGAGTGTGGGAGGTGTTGGGTAAACAACCAATGGTTTCTGAAGTTTGGAATATTGGTTAATTTTTCCTAATGATACTATCAGAAAGAATATCAGAAGAAAAACATGTAAGAGAAATTGATGAATTTGGTTATTATGTTTTAATTACTAAAATTATTATTAACAGATACTGAGGGCTTTAGTTAATATACCTCTTAGAAAAATGATATGTTCCAATGATTTGAAATAAAATTGAATCATTAGTTGGACACAGTGGTGCACTACTGCATTACCAGCTCATGGGAGATTGAGATGGGGGGAGCACATGACTTCAGGAGTTTCAGACTGGCCCAGACAACAAAGTAAGACCCCAACCTCCCTCCCCCCTAAAAAGAACTGAATCATCATATTTTATTCCTAACAGCAGGGAATACAGCAGACAGCCCCTCCTCAACAGACAGTACAGTATTCACTTCCACAAACAACAGCCTCCACTGAGGCCACTACTGCACAGCCAGTGAGTCAACCTCAAGCTCCACAGGTCTTGCCTCAAGTGTCAGCTGGAAAACAGGTAAACTCTCAATTTCTGAAAAGATGCTAAAGAGGATCTACATGTAACTTGTCCTTTCAAATAGGTAGACTTCCATCCTTTATAATAGTGAAATATCCATTGAAGTTGGTTAATCTCAAGTGCAATAATGGAGTAAAAATTTGCTCTCTTTGCACATATGCATCATAAATGGATATATATATATACTGACAGCAGTGACAGGTTTATCAGTATAGAGTTACCGGTGTTAAAACCTAAAGGGTAGCTGGTGTGGTAGTGAATGCCTGTAATCCCAGCTACTCAGGAGGCGGAGGCAGGAGGATCAAAGTTCAAGGCCAGATAGGATACTGTCTCAAAATAAAATTTTTTTTTAAAAAAAGCACTGGGGATTTAGCTTATTGGTGGAATGTTTGCCTCACATGTGCAAGGCCCTGGATTCAGTCCCCATTAACACACACACACATATACACATACACACACACATACACAATCCTAATGGGTTAAATAAAAATGCTGGTAACTGAACCTGTGCCATTCTCTAGAAATATGTCAGCTATATCTAATATTCAGATATATCTGGTATTCTAGGTATATCTGGTATTTGCAATTATGCTTTGTTTTCAGGTGGATTTGTAAAAAATTTTCTCCCTTATTGCCTTTTGACAATAAGTTATAAAAGCTCCTTACATGAAATGATGCATTTTTTTTTTCTAAGATGTCCTTCTAATCATTTGAAAAGTACCTTGTAGAAGGTATGCTCTTCTGAATGGCCTTTCTTCACCTGTATCATAGATACGGTTTTGTTTGTACCCTTTTGCTTATATGTGCACAGTGTATTGTTACTGTCGTATTTCATCATATCTGAGATACTATCTATATAAAATGCACCATTATTTTATGAATCACTGAGTACATACCATCAACACATCAACAGCTATAAGATATATCCAAATTTTTCAAATGTTGAAATGACCAGGTAGTAGAGAAGGGTTATTTTGTCCTAGAATCAGTGAAATATATTAATTATACCTATTTTTATAGAGCTGCTAGACTTTTGTAGAAATAATATGGATACAGTCTGAATCACTGGGAAGAAACTTGTTTCAAACTTCATTAGCTACTTCAATAGCAATTCTAGATTTAGGGGCAGAAAACATGCCAATGGATTATGGTATGCAAAATATCTGCCAATAAACCTATTAAAAACAAACAACAAAACCCTTGCCTATGGAAAGGTTTATTTTTTATAGTCAGTGATGAAACATTACCAAATTTTTCTATAGTGAAAATGTGGAACAGTAACCAGTTTATTATCCTTTTTGTATCCCTGCTATTCTTTTTTCCCTGTTGTAATGTGGCATATTAACTTAAACTAATGTATGCAGGGTTTTGTTTGTTTGCTTCCCTCTTTTTGGCTAATACACAAATCTTGCTTTCAGCAGCCTTGCTTAAAAAAAAAAAAAAAGTCTTGTCTGTTTTGTTTTTCTTTACTTTCTCAGCTTCCAGTTTCCCAGCCAGTATCAACTATCCAAGGCGAATCTCAGATCCCAGTTGCATCACAGTCCTCAGTTGTTCCAGTCCACTCTGGTGCTCATTTCCTTCCTATGGGACAGCCACTCCCCACTTCTTTACTCCCACAGTACCCTGTCTCTCAAATTCCCCTATCAACTCCTCATGTATCTACAGCTCAGACAGGTTTCTCATCCCTTCCCATTACAATGGCAGCTGGCGTTAATCAGCCTCTGCTCACCTTGGCTTCATCTGCTACAGCAGCTGCGATCCCAGGGGGATCAACTGTGGTTCCTAGTCAGCTTCCAACCCTTCTGCAGCCTGTGACTCAGCTGCCAAGTCAGGTTCACCCACAGCTTCTGCAGCCAGCAGTTCAGTCCATGGGGATACCAGCTAACCTTGGACAAGCTGCTGAGGTTTCGCTTCCCTCTGGAGATGTTCTATACCAGGTACTGTGTTAGCTAGCAAAAGAGGAGAGCATTGGAGGGTTTGATTTTAATAAGACAATCAAAAACCTAAAAATGTAGTAGTTGAGTATCAGAAGAACAGTTACAAAGGTTGCTGATCTTAACTAGAGAAGCTAAAAGGGTAAAATTCCAAGAAAAAGTAGAGTGATGATGTTTGATGACCTCCTTACCCTTTTTTTTTTTTTAAGACACAACCTGGAAGAAAAATGGTTAAATATTCAGTGTAAGCACACCAGGCTGTATGTGTATGTATATATATGTATATGTATATATAGATGGAATAAGAGTTGGCAATATGGTATCAACAAAAAAACTTCAGAGTTTAGATTTAGAAGATGAACATTCCATATATGACTGGAATGGCTAATACTAGGAGGAGTTTGCATTCTTCATGTAAGATTTGCTAAAAAGTAGATATATTTCTAGAAGGAATTAAGTTTATTATAATTCCTATTTAAATAATCTCCAACAGGGGAAAACCAGCAATTTAAAATATGATATGTAGAATGCTGGCTCCCAAAATGGAACCAGTATACTATTTCATTTCAAGAATGATGTTTAGATTATTAGTAAGAGAATGGGCTACTCTTCTTTGCTGTATGCTTCCTGCTACCCCACCCCCCCCCCTCCCCCCCCTTTTTTTTTTTTGCATGTTTTGCTGATTTGCTAATTTGATGCCCCAACCTGCACTAACTCACCTTCCTCATTTCTATCACAGGGCTTCCCACCTCGACTGCCACCACAATACCCAGGAGATTCAAATATTACTCCCTCTTCCAACGTGGCTTCTGTTTGCATCCATTCTACAGTCCTATCCCCTCCCATGCCTACAGAAGCATTGGCTACACCAGGTTATTTTCCTACAGTGGTGCAGCCTTATGTGGAATCAAATATTTTGGTTCCTGTGGGCGGTATAGGAGGACAGGTTCAAGTGTCCCAGCCAGCAGTGAGTTTAGCACAACAATCCCCCACTACATCCTCCCAGCAAGCAGTTCTGGAGGTAAATGGAATTATTGCATGTTTATATATAAAACATATATACTATGGGATAAAAATGACAAAGGAGAAACAGGCTTCCCTGGTTAAGAACTCATTTGGAGACCATGTCAAACTAACTTCTGAATGACTTTTTCTTACAGCAGAATGAAATGCCAATGTGGGGGCCTTGTTGCCACTGGCTGTTCTGTTGGGAAGTGAGTGTGCCTTGGAGAAGATTAACCCTATTAGTACTTCACTTCTCTAGCTAGTACTTTAGCCATTATTCTTGTCCTTTCACAAACTCATACCATTGGCAGTCATAAGAATATCTTATCCTACTGTGCTCTCAGCAATCATTTTTGCCCTCCTAGGAAAAAAAGGTCTGAGTTTATCTTTGCACTTTGCTCTGCCTGCCCTATTGCATACTTTTGGTAAGATGCTGGCTGCATGGCAAGTTGTAGTTTCACATTGCCTAGCAAATAGGTTGGCTGACTTCACACCATGCAGTCTTTATGAGAGACTAGCTTTAGAAACTTCCTTTGGAATTTTAAGATCACTATCTGTAGATGCTGAATATTAAGAACTCCTAGTAAATTTACTGCTTCTAGGATATAGGGGAGGGATAAGAGGAAATAAAGGGATCTTATCGCGATCATTTATCATGATAAATATGTTACCACCAAGATTTGAATTATCCTTTCCATTCACAGAGTACTCAGGGAGTCTCTCAGGTTGCTCCTCCAGAGCCAGTTCCAGTAGCACAGTCACAACCAACCCAACCTGTCACTTTGGTGTCCTCTATAGACAGGTAGGTAAAATCATAATTCTCTTTTGACTTGTAGATAGGATAGTATAAAACATCAAAATATCAAACCCTGAAATCTCATATTGAAAATGGAACTTTTTCTTTTTCAAAGTGCGCACTCAGATGTTGCTTCAGGTATGAGTGATGGCAATGAGAATGCCCCATCATCCAGTGGAAGGCATGAAGGGAGAACAGCAAAACGGCATTATCGAAAATCTGTAAGAAGTCGCTCTCGTCATGAAAAGACTTCACGCCCAAAATTGAGAATTTTAAATGTAGGTATCAATGACTTTGTGGCTTTGATATTGTTAAAGGAATTTAGCACGGAGAATAGTTTTTGAAATCAGAACCATTCATTTCATAAAATAAAGATACCTTATCTTTGCACCATATATAATTTATATAGCCCTTTTTTTTCATTTAATTCATACAATTCTTTTTGACTATCACATTTTTCAGAAAGTATAGTTTATAAATAATCTGTAATAGAGACAGCAACTAATATCATTGAAATAATTCTTAAGGCTTAGGGAAAAGAATAGAGTGAAAAAGACTTTATGTTCCTTTCAGACTCAGTAGTGGAAGATAAACAAGTAGCTCAAAGACTGACATCATCTTATAGGTATTCTACCAGTTCAAGTATTGGTGCTTCAAGTTACAATATTAATACCATGCTTCCTCAGACATAAATATGAGCATTAGTCTGAATGACTTTTTCTCAGTGTCAGTAAAAAAGCCAAGTATAGTCTTCAGAAATGAAGTATCTTTTCTTTTCAGGTTTCAAACAAAGGAGACCGGGTAGTAGAATGTCAATTAGAGACTCATAATCGGAAAATGGTTACATTCAAATTTGACCTAGATGGTGACAACCCCGAGGAGATAGCAACAATTATGGTATGTCTGCATATGGAGTTCCAAATTTTCCCCTATTACTTCATCTAAATATCCATTACCCTAGGCAACTATCCAATATTTGTAATTCATGTTTTATATTCAATATTTCATTGGAATATAACCAGCACACCTAACCTGTGATTGTGATATTTTTGTGTAGAATCTGTAATTATTCATATTTCAGTATTAAGTATTGAAGTTCTTAAATAGGAAAGAGCTGCCAGGCACTGTGGCCAGGGCAGGAGAATTGCAAGGTTGAGACCAGCCTGGGCAATTTAGTGAGATGCTACCATAAAATAAAATTAAATGAAATGTAAAGTAGCAGAAAAGTACAAATTAAAAAGGGGACTGGAGCCTGATGTGGTGGCTCATGCCTATAATTCCAGCAACTCAGGAAGCTGGGGCAGGAGGATCACAAGTTCAAAGCCAGTCCCAGCAACTTAGCAAGACCCTGTCTCAGAATTTTAAAAAATAGAAATAAAAAGGGCTGGGGATGTGGTTAAGTGCCTGGGTTCAATCCCTGGGACAAAAAAAAAAAGAGGACTGGCTCAGTGGTAGAGCGCTTGCCCAGCACATGTGAATCACTGGGTTTGATCATTAGCAGCACAAAAAGAAAAAAGGATGGAAGGGCTAACTTAAATACCAAATAAATAATACACTATATATGCAGATGGGATAAAAATCTTGTGGTAATTGAATGACCTAAAGCTTCAGAAATGTTATATTGATCAGAAGGACATCATTTGTTTTACAGGTAAACAATGACTTTATTCTAGCAATAGAGAGAGAGTCATTTGTGGATCAAGTGCGGGAAATTATTGAAAAAGCTGATGAAATGCTTAGTGAGGATGTCAGTGTGGAACCGGAGGGTGACCAGGGAATGGAAAGTCTGCAGGGAAAGGATGACTATGGTTTTTCAGGTTCTCAGGTAGGTTCACCAATCACATAGTGAAGCTTTGCTTATATAAAATACATCTGTAGTACTAAATTCGCCATGCAAAATGCCTTCTGATATCACATTGTGACTGAGAATAAGCATTCATGTTCATTTCACATGGTGATTTGCTTTGTCTAATTGAGAGTACATTTGAGAATGAACTTACTTTTAGTTTGTTTGGTTTTGTTTTTTAAGAAATTGGAAGGAGAATTCAAACAACCAGTTCCCACATCTTCCATGCCACAGCAAATCGGTAAATTTCTTCTTATTTGTTTTCTGCCTTTAACTTAAGAAGTTGTATGTGCCAATAATGAAATATTAAAGTTTCATGCGGTTGAGTTATATAACAAAAACTGCAATTACGTGATTTGTTTTTTTTCAGGTGTTCCTACCAGTTCTTTAACTCAAGTTGTTCATTCTGCTGGAAGACGGTTTATAGTGAGTCCTGTGCCAGAAAGTAGATTACGAGAATCCAAAGTTTTCACCAGTGAAATATCAGACACAGGTGAGGATTGATTCTGCCACATATTTAATAACATAAATCCTATAGCATCTCTGCTACAGTGGAAGCTTGGTCATCAAGCAGTAGCTCATGATGACACAGATAATAAAAACAAGTAGAAAATAGAGGTTTTAAACAGCAGATAAACATAAGGAGTAGGGAACTATTTAAATAATAGGATTAAAGAAAAAGCCAGAAAGGATAGCCATATTAGATGCAGCCTATGTATAATTCTGTATTGTGTTTGTTTCTTTTTTGTTGTTTTTAGAAATTATGTATGTTTTCAGAGTACTCCATGTTTCTTTTCTGGAAATAGATATTCACTCACATAAGCTGACTATTTGAACAAACTGCTAGTCAATTTTGCAGTATTAGAACTTGTTATTTTCTTGGGAGAAATATTAAACCTTTTTGATAACATGGCATTGTTGGTGATCAAAAAATAGGTTGTTAGAACAATGTTTAAATCCTTCCTTTTATATAAAGGACTATAAATATAACCTGTATTTTTGTTTTCCTTTGCAGTTGCTCCCTCTATACCTCAGGGCCCTGGAATGAATTTGTCTCATTCTGCTTCATCCCTTAGTCTCCAGCAGGCCTTTTCTGAACTTAGACATGCCCAAATGACTGAAGGACCCAACACAGCACCTCCAAACTTTAGTCACACAGGACCAACATTTCCTCCTTTCTTGGGTAGCATTGCCGGAGGCCCAACCACAGCAGCAGCCACACCTTCAGTATCAGTTCCTGTATCAAGCGGCTCTCTTAATGACATTTCCACATCAGTAATTCAGGCTGAGGTTACAGTACCCACTGAAAAAGGGATTGCTGGAGTTGCCACCAGCACAGGTGTGGTTATGTCAAGTTGTCTTCCTGTACCACCTGTGTCTGAGTCACCAGTACTTGCCAGTGTGGGTTCAAGTGTCACAATACCTGCAGTTGTCTCAATGTCCACAACATCCCAGCCAGTACAGGCCCCCACATCTGGGAGCATTGTTTCTAGTACAGGCGCTTTTCCTTCTATGACAGTTTCAACAGCTTCAACCTCTGCAGTGGGCAGTACTGCTGTCCCAGGTGCTAAGCCTCCAGCTGTGTTATCTCAGCATACAGCAAGCACTACTGGGGTAGCCACAGTAACATCAGTTTCTGCCTCCACTCCATTCCCAACCATAGCTTCACAGCCATCCCTTCAGCTTAGTAGCAGCACCTCTGCCCCTACTCTAGCTGAAACAGTGGTGGTTAGTGCACACTCACTGGACAAAACATCTCATAGCAGTACAACTGGATTAGCTTTGTCTCTCTCTGCACCATCTTCCTCTTCCTCTCCTGGAGTAGGAGTGGCTAGTTCTGTTTCTCAGCCTGGTGGAGTGCATCCTTTAGTCATCCCATCAGTGGTAGCTTCTACTCCTGTCTTTCCCCAAGCAGCAGGACCTACTTCTACACCTTTGTTACCCCAGGTACCCAGTATCCCACCCTTGGTACAACCTGTTGCCAATGTGCCTGCTGTACAGCAGACTCTCATTCATAGTCAGCCTCAACCAGCTTTGCTTCCTAACCAACCCCACACTCACTGTCCAGAAGTAGATGCTGATACCCAACCCAAAGCTCCTGGAATTGATGACATAAAGACTCTGGAGGAAAAGCTGCGGTCTCTCTTTAGTGAACACAGCTCTTCTGGAGCTCAGCATGCCTCTGTCTCACTAGAGACGTCACTAGTAGTAGAGACCACAATCACACCAGGCATCCCAACCACTGCTGTTGCACCAAGCAAACTCATGACTTCCACTACGAGTACTTGCTTACCACCAACAAATTTGCCATTAGGAACAGCTGGTTTGTCAGTCATGTCAGTGGCCACACCTGGGCAAGTTTCTACCCCAGGCAGCTATGTTTCAGCCCCAGTGAGCACTGCATCAGGAATGAAACCTGGAACTGCTCCCTCAAAGCCACCTTTAATTAAGGCTCCGGTAAGGTTCTTGTTAAACTATTATTAGATAAATAAGATCACATTCGTGCATTTTTCAACTTGGCCTTGCAAATTAATAATGTAGTTACAAAGCCTTGAAGATTATAAATGTAGTGGTCGTTCAGTCTTAAACAAATTAACAGCAACTTTAGGACATGAACACAAAGATTTTTCCCTTTTTTGAAATGTATATTATTATCAGGTAAAATGTAGACATTTCTCCTATTTCCCAAAGGGGAAATAAAGGCATCTATCAAAAAAATATGCATAGTAATAGTAGTTTGCCACTTTGTTTCAATTGAGAATAAAGGAAATTTTCTGCTTTCCATGTAAATACAATTTGAGGTTCATAAAAACTGAAAGTGATAAAAGAGGAATTAGTCTAATCCTAGGAATAAAATAACTAAACTGTATTTTTTAATTCTTCTGTGGCAGATTTCCTCTCATTTTCCCATCTTCAGTATTGCTGATCTTTTTCAAAAATAACAAGGCTATATTGTGGCTACTGTATTCTATACTTCAGCTATCTTTCTGCGTTGCTATTGCTGTGAAACTCTTTGCAGTGGGGTAATACAGATATTTCTAAACTTAAAATAGGGTTACATACCCGTAAACCCATCCTAAAATTGAAAATATAAAGTCAAAAATGCATTTAATATACCTACCTAAACATTGTAGCTTAGAACACAAACACTGTAAAATATTGGTTGTTTACCCTTGTGATGTCATGATTAAAAGAGCTGTGTCTCACTACTGCTGCTTAGCATCATAAGAGAGTATCGTCCCCTATTTTGGTAGCCTGGGAATAGATCAAAATTCACATGGTGGTAAATGCCTGTTGTCCCAGCTACTCAGGAAACCAAAGTGGGAGGATCACTTGATCCCAAGGGTTGAAGATCAACCTACTAGTCAGCATAATGAGACCCTATCCCCCACCCCCCCAAAAAAAAAAAAAAAAAAAAAAAAAAACAGGTGCAGGGGCATGCACCTGAAATCCCAGCAACTCAGGCTGCTGAGACAGGAGGATCACAAGTTCAAGGCCAGCCTGGGTAATTTAGCAAGGCCTTGTCTCAAAATGAAAATGGCTCTGGGGATGAAGCTCAGTGGTAAAGCACCCCTGGGTTCAATGGTCAGTACCAAAAAGATAAAGAAAAAAATTTCAATGTACGGTTTCTACTAAAGGCATATAATTTGTGTACTATTGTTAGTCAAAAAAAAAAAAAAATTCATGTCAAACCATCCATCATATGTAAGGAACTGTCAGTTCAGAGTCTTTATTCAGATAAAACAAATTACTTGATAGTATTAGATTTTTGATGCCTTTTCTTATCAGACTTCCCTCTAGGTTTTATTTAAGTCAACCTCTGAGTTGTTTGCTTTTATTTTCCTTTTTCTCAGAAAAGTCTTGTTTTTCTTAGCAAATGTCTTGTTTTTCTATATCAAATGAGTAGCTCAAAGAGTCTGTCTCTTATGTACCTATAGACTTTGTCCTCTTTATTTATCCTAAGGAACAACCTTTTATTATATTTTACTTCATTTCAAGGGTATTTCAAAATAACACTTATAATTCTATTATTTTGTTATATTGTCCTTTATGTAAGACAGATATTAAGAGTGTACCCTTGGTGATAACTAGATACATTTTATTTTATGCTTCTGTATTAAAATTAATTGGTTTGCTCTTTAGCATGCAGTCTTTACTATTAGTGTCTCATGGACTTGAATTTCCATTCATTGTCTTAGGTGCTGCCAGTGGGTACTGAACTTCCAGCTGGTACTATGCCTAGCGAGCAGCTGCCACCTTTTCCTGGACCTTCACTAACTCAGGTGCCCCAAGATTTGGCAGATTTCTTTCTATGCTCCTACTTTTCTTCTTCGCAAAGCTTGTTTAAATAATTCACCATTGCATGACCTTGGCTTCTGGTTCCTTCTTGGCTTTGACTTAGTAACACCTTTCTTTTAAAAACCATGTAGCTGCACAGGGGTTATAGCTCAGTAGTGGAGCACTTGCCTATCATGTGTGAGGCACTGGGTTCGATACTCAGCACCACATAAGAATAAACAAAATAAAGGTATTGTATCCATCTACAACTAAGAAAATATTTAAAAACATAAAAACCATGTAGCTAATGATCCAGGCCCCTTAAGCTTCATTATTATTTTGTTTAGAATTTTGCTTCAAGTCACCTAGAAAACATTTAATATTTTTTTATATTTCATGTGGGAAGAAAATATCAAAGTTTGACGTTTTGCCAGAAAACATTACTCTTTTTTTAATTCACAGTTTTTTTTTTTTAATATTTTTAGTTGTAGATGGACATAATATCTTTATTTTATTTATTTAGTTTCATGTGGTGCTGACACTGGGATCCAGTGCCTCACACATGCCAGGCAAGCTCTCTATCACTAAGCCACAACTCCAGCCCCCATTTATTCTTTCATAGAATAGCGAAATTGCTCCTTAAATGTAAGGGTAGTTTCTAAGCCAATGTGGAAATAAAAAATTTTATGTGATCAAAATTAACTATGGGGCTGGGGTGATTGTAGCTCAGTGGTAGAGCGCTCACCTAGCATGTGTGAGGTACTGGGTTCGATCCTTGGTACCACATAAAAATAAATAAGTAAAATAAAGGTACTGTGTCCCATCTACAACTAAAATCTATATATGTATTTTAAAAATTTAACTACGAAAATTTCTTCATTAAAAAAGAAAAAATATCCTTTTTCTGAGTCTAACCAGTTAGGTGTTTGTTTGTTTGTTTAATTTTTTTGAAAACCAGTTTTAAAAATGTTTTAAAAATCTTCAGTGTTTATCATTTCTTTCATTGACCACCTAAAGAAATAATTGGCTTACATATAGGTGTAATGTTGCATGAAAATATGTACTATAACTTTTAATATAAAAATTGACAGCTCAACAAGATATTAACATGTTTTATAAGATTGCTCATAGAGGGGCTAGGGTTGTAGCTCAGGGGTAGAGCACATGCCTAGCATGTGGGAGGCACTGGGTTTGATCCTCAGCACCACATAAAAAATAAATAAATATAGGGCTGGGGTTGTAGCTCAGTGGTAGAATGCCTGCCTCACACACATGAGGCACTGGGTTCAATCCTCAGCCCCACATAAAAATAAATAAATAAAGATTGTATCCATCTACAACTTTAAAAAAAAAATCTTTAAAAATAAATAAATAAATAAATATAATGAGTATTTTATCCACCTAAAAACAAGATTTTTAAAAAAAAAAAAACTTGATCAGCCACATGAACTTGAGATTCCCTTCTCACGCTCAGTTCTGTTAATGTATACGATAGTAGTCATAATCATCTGTAATGTTTAAATTATTGTTTCCCTTTCCCATTTCACCCCATTACTAACTACTTAGTTGAATTTCCCGTAAGGGAAGCACTTGATATGAATCAGTCCATTATAACCATGAAGAAGGTTCTGACATGGCACAAGCTAGTAAACTTTGAAAGTAAATTAGGAATTTATTTTGAAATTATATGTAATAAAAACATGACAGATTGCTACTTGAGAAGCCTACTATGAATTTATCCCTCCTACTTTAATTCTAATTTTCAGTAGAACATAATGTAAAGAACTTGCCAAAATAAAGTAATAACTTCAACCGAGAACCTACTCCAACAGTCACCAGATTTTTTGGGGGAAAAAAAAAAGGTGCAATATTAATGCCGATATGATTTTAAACCAGTTTCTCATTAAAAACGTGTTCAAAAGCCATGCATGGTGGCATGTATCTATCTGTTATCAGCAGGATCACTTGAATCCAGTTTTACCAGCCCAAGCAATATAGTCAGACCTTGTCTTTAAAAAGAAGAGAAAAATAAACATTGATTGCTTAGTGAGAAATATAAAGGATAAGGAAGGGTAAGTAGATAGTACCTGCATTTAGAGGTGGACGCATAAATGAAGCTTATGTAAGAACAGATTGATAAAAACCAAGATAGATGTACCAAGTAGAGACTGTGACTGGGTAAAAAAAGAATGTGCCCCAGAGGTGCATAGCATAATGCATGATTAAGAGGACAGAATAACCAGACTTCCTTGCTGCCATCTGTAAGATTTAAGTATATATCATATAAGTGTAGCTGAATTACTCTTGATAGAGTTTCATAATCTTGATAGCATTATGTGAATTTTGGTTTTGGGGGTTTTGTTTCCAGTGAAAACAAATGTTATAATCTAAAGCATAAAATAATGTCTTGTATAAATCGGTTATATATAGTAGCTCTGAAAGTGCCACAGAATTTATATCTACCATAACTGTTTTTGCTCAGTCACAACAACCTCTAGAAGATCTTGATGCACAGCTGAGAAGAACGCTTAGTCCAGAGACTATTACAGTGACATCTGCAGTTAGTGTAAGTGTTTAAACCCTTGATAAAATCTCATAACCCAAGGGGCTCAGTGGTAGCATGTATGAGGCACTGGGTTCAATCCTCAGTGCCACATAAAAATAATAAGTAAATAAATAAATAAAGGTATCATCCATATAAAATCTCTTAACCTGAATGTATTATATTTCTGCAACACAAAATGTAACCTAAATAGTTATTAATATAACATCTTTTCAGAGTCCCTGCTTGTTCCAGACAACAAAAAAGAGATCAAATTAAAGTGTAACTGATACTTTTTATGTACCTCTAACTAGTGTATATCTCAGATCAGGCCTATGGATTTTGCATTTATGCTTTGTAGTAGGCTAAAACTATTTTTCGGTGGAGCATGACTGTAATCCCAGCTACTAGGGAGGCTGAGGCAGGAGAGTTGTGAATTCAAGCCCAACCTAGGCAACATAGTGAGATCCCCATTTGAATAAAGAAAAGGAAACAGCTAGTTTTCTATAGAAATACTTACGTATTTCCATGACTGAGGAGAATTGATACTAATATCTAAAGCATGAGATATTAGCAGATTAACGAGCCTTTGTTGGTGTTATTGGAACAAGAAGATTATTATACATGGGGCAGTGGTAGTTTCTTAGCATAAGACTTTTAAGTGTTCTGGGAGAAAAATTAAGAAAGAATGAAGAAGGATTAAGACTCAAATTTTCTTTAAAAAAACTGCCTTTCTGCCAAATGCGGTGGCACACCCCTGTAATCCCAGTAACTCTGGAGGGTGAAGCAGGAGAACTGCAAGTTCAAAGCTAGCCTCAGCAACTTAGCAAGGCTCTAAGCAACTTGGTAAGACCCTGTCTCAAAATAAAAATTGCTGGGGATGTGGCTCAGTGGTTAAATGACCCTGGTTTCAGTCCCCAATACCAAAAAAAAATTTTTTTGGTTGTAAAAGAAAATTCCCTTAGATATAAATGTTTCTTCACCATATAATATATTCCACTTTTCCAAAGACCAAAGAAAAGGTAACAGGTCAAAAGTATTCTTGATTAAAGCTAAAGATTTTGTGGTATCTGTGTGTGTATGTGTTTTGCAGCCTGTGTCCATGGTGGCTCCAACAGCAGTTACAGAAGCAGGAACACAGCCTCAGAAGGATGGTGAGAAACATCCTTCTTCCTTTCATATTACTACTCCCAGTCCTGCCTATGATTGATAATAGAGGTCACTGTTTCAAAGGCACAGTCTTTAGCATGTGGGTATATTTGAGACTATTATAAGGAACATTTTTACGTATTTCCATGACTGAGGAGAATTGATACTAATATTTAAAGCATGAGATATTAGCAGATTAACGAGCCTTTGTTGGTGTTATTGGAACAAGAAGATTATTATACATGGGGCAGTGGTAGTTTCTTAGCATAAGACCATTTGTTCTTAGGTAGGCAAGATCCTTGCAAGATTAGGAAATTGAGGCATTTATAAAAGTGAATTTACAACTAACTTCTTGGCTTTTGTGACACTGGACATATAGAGATAAAGATCAGCTTGAAAAGCCAGAATAACATTTCACACAGAAATTAAATATAATTAAATTAACTAGTTTAAATATTGTTTTTATTCAAGCTAATTATATATTGAATTGACTTATTTTAAAAGAAATAACTTAAAAATCAATGATACATTAGAAATGCTAGAAATAGACAAAATAAAGGAAACTGTAAATTATCAAAACACATACCATAAGTAAATACAATAAAAGTTGATTAATTATATTTACCACCAAATAAAAGGGAATGTAGACTGTAAAGAAAGTGACCTTTTAAATCCTCAAGAAGATGGGATATTTCAACTAAATAGCCATCTGGGAAAAACTTAAATGGATCAAAGATGAAAGATATCATAAAAATAGTACTACATAAGAATACATGAGAGGAATATTTTCCTTAATTTTTTCCCCCAACTGTGTAGAGCAGAGTCAACAAACTTTTTTACCAGATAGTAATATTTTAGACTTTACAGGATTCAGTCTTTGTTGCATCTTATTCAGATTTCCTGGTCAAGCCCCAAAGCAGCAATAGACTAATGCAGATGATTGAGTCTGATTGTGCTCTTGAATTTGGTACACTGATCATGGTTTGTTCTAATCACTGATAGAGAGGATTGTGTTAAGTTTAATATTCAACCTAGAGCAAGCAGTAATAAATTTCAAATTTGTTGAATGTAGTAAAAATGCCATTGGGTATAAAAATAAATGAAAAATTGGGGAAATACATATGTGGTGGTGGTGGGATGTCTGAGTGTATCTTTATCATAGAAGGGACTAGTTTTGCTAACATAAAGAATCTGGCCAGGCACAGTGGTGCACACTTGTAATTCTAGCAACTCAGGATGCTGAGGCAGGTCAGGATCACAAATTCAAGGCCAGTGGGGCATAATAGCTCAATGGTAAAGCACCCCTGGGTTTGAGCTTCAGTATTGTAGGGGGCAGGTCCTGAAATTCAGCATGGACCCAACAAATATAAGATACAGAAAAATAAATTTAGACATGAAAATACTTAACTTCCTCAATGATAACAGAAATTGAAAGTAAAACTACAAATGATAGCGTTTCTCACCTCTCACTGGTAAATTTAGGAGTTTTAGTAGCCACTGGTGTGTTGGTAAAGCCTTTGGGGATCAATTTAGTAATGTCTAAGTTTTAAAAGCAAATTATCTAATAGTTCCATTCCTTAGTCCACATATCTATAAGATATTATGTATTATAGCACTTTTAAAATAGCAAATTTCTGAAAAATTTAGATGTTCATTGGTAGAAGCCTGATTAAAATATGGCACACTGAAAAAACAAAACAACAACAACAACAAAATATATATATATATATATATATATATATATATATATATATATGTTACAGAAATAAAATTCAAAACTCTGTGTTCATTAAAAAGAATGAGGCACTGAGCTGGGGTTGTGGCTCAGAGATAGAGTGGTCGCCTAGCATGCATGAAGCACTGGGTTCAATCCTCAGCACCACATAAAAATAAAATAAAGATTGTTTCCACCTATAATTAGAAAATATTTAAAAAAAGAACAAGGCATTGATATGAAATACTCACTAATTGCATGGAATCATCAATCAGTATTCTAATTGTATAAAATAAGGAAAATATATGCTGAAGTATGCCTTTGAAATTCAGAATAAAAACAAATAGTTGTCCCTGGGGAAAAGGACCTGAGTGGCTTTGAAGTTGCTTAAACTACTTATGAATGATTCTTGAGAACTATACTATCCTGTTTTATAGGACTTTACCTGAGTGTTGCATTGAGAAAATAAATTTAAACTGGTTTTCATTTTAAAGTAGATTTTTAGCCAAAGGGAATAGAAGGTAACTTTTTAAAAGAGGGTGATAATTTATCTTCCTCCTCTATGTATTTGTTTCAGTTTCCCAAGGCACAGAAGGCCCTGTCCTAGCAACTAGTTCAGGAACTGGTGTTTTTAAGATGGGACGATTTCAGGTATGACAATCATTTTCTTTGCCTTGATTCCCTCTTTTTTCGGGTGGTTGTGTATATAATAAAATTGTTACCTACCTAATATAATTCTTTTTCATAGTACCTGATAACTGTCATCTTCCTGTCATATAAGTAATATATACTAATTAAAGAAACTATGAAATACTTAGAACAGTAGAGAAACAATAGATAGTCATACTAACTTTCCAACGCATCCCACAAGATTACTTGTTTTTTCTAAAACTGGCAGCTGCTTCTCTTCGAATATCGTGTAATTCTTTTTTCCTCAAATAGTAATTCGTTTACCTAACCATTCTTCTATTGGTCATTTCTAATTTTTTCATCATAATAAGGAAAGTAAAAGTGAACATATTTTTTCCCCTTTAAAATTCTGGGGATTGAACCCAGATTGAACCACTGATCTGTTGCCCAGCCTTTTTATTTTTTAAATTTGAAACATGATCTCACTAAGTTGCTGAGGCTGACCTCGAATTTGGGATCCTCCTGCCTCAGCCTCCCAGGTTGCTAAGATTACAGGTGTCTTCATCATGCCCAACTGAACATCTTTATGTGTAAAAACTTTTTTTATATTTATAATAATTTTCTTAGACTTAACTCTATAAATGAAAATACTGAGTCAGCATCAAATGATACCATATTTTCTCATCTGATCCAACCAATGAGCAGTTTCTAGTTTCTGGCTCTTAGTACATAGAGTTAAATAAGCTTTGCAAATAATTTTTTAAACTGTTTTCAGAACTACTTTCATATTAGTAATTATGATAGCCCCTGGAGTTGGGGATAGTAGGTGATTTTTCTCATTTGTAAACTGAGGTTGTTTTTGTTGTTGTTGTTGTTGTTTTTGTTTTGGGGACTTGGGGGGGGGGGGTTGATTTGGTTTTTGTCTGTTTTATTTCTGGTCATACTGGGGATTGAGCCCAGGAGTGTTCTACCTCTCAGCCTTTGAGCTACATCCCAACCCCCTTTTCATTTTACTTTATTTTGAGACAGAGTCCTGCTTAAGTGACCTAGGTGGGCCTTAAACTTGAGATCTTCCTGCTTCGGTCTCTCAAGTAGCTAGAGTTATAGGCAAACATCGCTGATCCTGGCTATAAACTGAAGTTCTTTGAGTTTGTAGTTAGGCCGAGTTTGTATCTGTAAAACATGGACAAACCAGGACAAGGATGTGGATCCTCCTTTCGTACCTTTTAGTGGTATTTATTTTTTCTTGGTACCAGGGATTGAACCCAGGTGCATTTAACCACTAAGCCACCTTCCCAGTCCTTTTTGGTTTTTATTTTGAAGCAAGGTCTCCCAAGTTACTTAGGTCTCACTAAATTGTCTGAGGCTGGCTTTGAACTCTAGCCACTCAGAATCTACATCTCAGTACAGATGTGTTGTTCTTTGTAATGATATTTGATTTATTTTTGCAGTCCAAGATGGATAGACTATGTAGAGATTCAGTCTGTTAATTGACTAGAAAATAAAGTGATTCCTTTCTTTTCTTTTTTTTAGCAGTCCATGCTAGAAATTAAATGTCTGGGACTTCAATTTTCAATCATACTCTGTTCTTTTTCCATCAGGTTTCAGTTGCAATGGATGATACCCAGAAAGAAGATAAAAATAAGACAGAAGATGCAAAGTCTGTTCATTTTGAGTCTAGCACATCAGAGTCCTCAGTGCTATCAAGTAGTAGTCCAGAGAGTACCCTGGTGAAGCCAGAGCCTAATGGGATGACAATCCATGGCATCTCCTCAGATGTGCCAGATGGTGCCCTTAAAACTCCTGCCTCAGAAGCAAAGTCAGAAACTGGGCAACCTACCAAGGTGGGACGTTTTCAGGTGACAACTACAGCAAACAAAGTGGGTCGTTTCTCTATATCAAGAACTGAGGACAAGATTGCTGAGGCAAAGAAAGAAGGACCAGTGACATCTCCTCCTTTTAGGGATTCAGAACAAGCTGTTCTCCCTGCAGTAATACCAAAGAAAGAAAAGCCTGAACTGTCAGAGCCTTCACATCTAAATGGGCCATCCTCTGACCTGGAGGCTGCTTTTCTAAGGGGGGATGTGGATGATGGTTCAGGTAGCCCACACTCACCCCGTCAGCTGTGTTCGAAGAGTCTTCCCATTCAGAATCTAAGTCAAAGCCTTAGTAATTCATTCAATTCCTCTTACATGAGTAGTGACAATGAATCAGACATTGAAGATGAAGACTTAAAGTTAGAGCTTCGACGACTACGAGAAAAGTAAGTGTATTTTCTCCTGTGAGTAACTAATGGCACATATTATATTAAGACAGTGGATCCCAGTGGCAAGATTAATGGTCCTTTCACTACAATATGCTAATGTGGTATTCCTTCTACAGAGAAGGTGATATGCAAAAGTTCAAGTTGTTTCAATATAATTCATTCCCTGTCTTCTCATCAGAATTTAAGACTTTTCTAGTTATGGGATTTCTTAAGCACCTCTATATTATCACTGTAATGTTATTTTTTTTATCATGCATATTTTATTAGCCACTTTGTTTAAATAACAAAGTACTGTTGAAGGCCAATTATAGAGCTCAAAGATCACATCAACTGATTACAGTTTACTATTCACATCTCAAAATTTCCTAGAATAATAAAAATGAGGACAGCAAAATAGAAAACTTTAAAAAAAAAATCAAACGACAAAAACAATACTCGAAATTATCATGACACATTTGAATTCTTTTTCTAGAACCATGAGTTTTTCTTAAGGAAAATAGCCAAAGTCATTGTAATTGGAAATGTTTCCCTTTAATGACAACATATGAGGTGGCCATGTTGAAACTAATTATTTTCATTATATTTTTCACTTTCATTAATAAGAATTTCACCATCTGCTTTTGTGTTTATTTCTGAAGAAGCATTTTAGACATGAGACTAATTTCGGTGTTTCTTAAATGGTTATAAACAATGAGTTTTCTGAATCAATAATCAGCGATATTAATATAGACAAGAAGTCTCTTGTCTAAAATGTTATTTTTAATGCCAGGAAGAAGAAAAAGTTACTAAGTTAAAAAAGTATTAAATTTACCCTTTAGAAAAGATTTTTATTAAATGTTTATCCATATATAATTATCTAATATTTTCACTGTAATTGCTCCATTACATATTAACCAAATTATAATTGAGTCAATTAATTAGAGAGCACTTTCTGAAGTTCCCTATGCTGGCCATGTGGCCTCATTTATATTATTTATTTTGCCTGGAATTCCTACCAGATCACTCTTCCCGGTCCCATCCCCATCTCCAAACAATACTTAATTCTTTCATTTTCTGTATCTACTCCTATTTGTCCTGCAAGATGCCTTTCAGATCTATTACTAAAAATATTTTTTCATTCTCTAATAAAGTCAAATACTATTTCTTTTATCCTACACTGAATTATATATATTCTTCAGTTTTATCATTACCCCACTCTATTTGTGTTACATTTGCTTTTCTTAGAATGCAAAAATTCCTCCCAAGCAGGAACAGTATTCTCTTCTAATACTAAACAAGTTAGTATTCTGAAATCCTAGGACTTAACATAATTTAGTCCCTAAATAGAAGAAATTGAAATAAATGGAAACTTTTACATATCTTCAAAGTGATTACTACATATAAATAATGTCAATGGCAGGTCCCAGATTAACCATGAAGATGGCATTTTTCTCCATCACTTAAGAACACTATGTCACTATAGTTCATCACTTAAGAACACTATGTCATTATAGTTGACCTTTTATTTCTACCCATGCATAATGGTCAATAACCATCACAGTGAAAGTGCCCCTCATTATTTGGGGGAATTCTGTCCCAACACAGTGATTAATTGCATCATCACTGTATGGTCAAAAGCAAGTCATTAATCTTTGGCAAGCTTTGCTCAAGTTATAATGTTTCCCTTTAATGACAACATATATATGAGGTGGCCATGTTAAAAACTAATTATTCTCGTTATATTTTTCATTACATTTTTTATGTCATTAGCACTTCTCATTACTGTTAACCATTCCTGGCTGTTTGTTCATCTACCAAATGAACCTGGTAATGGCATTGAGAAGTATAATTATGTTGACAAGTTTTGTTAATTTTATTTTTCTCAAATTGGATCAGAATAGCAAATTCACTTGTCCTGCATATGGCCTCAGAAGTCAGGAAATGTTTTTTCCATAACACCTTATCAACTATTTGTGGTTGGCTAGTGTTATTGTGAGCTTTTTCACTGCTGTGACTAAAAGACCTGACCAGAAAAATTTTAGGGAAGGAAAAGTTTATTTGGGGCCTCATGGTTTGGAGGTATCAGTCCACGGACAGCTGGCTCCATTCCTCAGGGCTCAAGGTGAGACTAATCATCATAGCAGTGTGTGTGGCAGAAGGAAACAGCTCACATGGTGATCAGAAAGTAGAGAGAGAGATTCCACTTGCCAAATACAAATATATACCCCAAACAGTTCCCACCTCCTCCAGCCATACTCTAGCACTTCAGTTACTGCTCAGTTTATCCCCATTGGCGGGGCGGGGGTGTTAATTCACTGATTGGATTAAGACTCCGGCAACCCAGTTCTTGCATTGTTTCCTCTGAATCTTCTTGCATTGTCTCACACGTTGAGCTTTTGAGGGACACCTCACATCCAAACCATAATAGCTAGGAACTTGTGGGAATATGGCTTGGATAATGGAGACTAACAAGGTAGGTTAATGACAAACTAGAATCTCATGATGTAGTACATTTGGGGAAAGGGTTCATAACTAAATAAATACTTAATTGCAAATTTTAAAATACAATTTAATTCTTTTTTGAACGAAGATGGTTATAATATTTTGAATTATGTTTCATTATCTTTTGTAGACATCTTAAAGAGATTCAGGACCTGCAGAGTCGCCAGAAGCATGAAATTGAATCTTTGTATACCAAATTGGGCAAGGTTCCCCCTGCTGTCATTATTCCCCCAGCTGCTCCCCTTTCAGGGAGAAGAAGGAGACCCACTAAAAGCAAAGGCAGTAAATCTAGTCGCAGCAGTTCCTTGGGAAATAAAAGCCCACAGCTTTCAGGTAAAAATAAAAAAACCTGGACCAAGTCAATCATCTTTGGTTTTTGTGTCCAGCTGAATACGTGATCTAGGAGTTTGGCAAAAGCCAATTCTTGCTTCCTTGACTTCTTAACTCCCTATACTTATTATCTCTTAAAAATCTGTAGAAGTAGTCTGGATGACTACAATGGCTTTTTCTATTGCAATGTTGCTGCTACTAATAGTCTTCATTTATAGTTGTTCTTGAGGATAAACACTTAACTTTTCCTGTTAACACAACACTCACATTTAACCAAACTTTTGTGCATTTGGAAACAAATGTATTTTTCCCTATTTATTAAACCTCAGGTAGAATCTTCCTTTTAACGGATGAGTTGCATAATTGCAAGTAGGATGAATGTGAATGGCATAGATATTTGAGTGTGTCTAAGTAGTAACATCCTTGATGCAGCATTTTATTTCATTTGTCTGTATTGAGATAAAGAATTTACCAGTGATTACAAAGGTGTTTAAATAAAAATCTGTGATAATGTATCATGGTCTACTTTAATTGGAATAGAGAGTTTTTATCCTCAATGAAAAGTATGTAGTGTTAATAGGTAATTAGCCACAAAGTTGGGGGGGAAATAAAAGGCTAAAATAAGTGTTTATTTCATATTTGCTCTCCAGGTCTAATTTAAGATTGGAGAGCGCTGAAAATATCTTAGCAGCTTTCCATTCACTGGAAGCCTTCATAGATGCCTAAACCTTTTATTGAGCATATTAAGACCAATTTATACAACCCATTGGTAGAGATATTATAAGGGAGATTAGCTAATTTGGATTCTAACCCCAATTTTAACATACTTTTTGAATGGATTTCTACTCACCCAGTAACTAGGAAGCAGAAGTTAGTCAGATTTGAATAGAATTGACCTAGCAACTTAAAGCCACCTACCAAGAAAAATTTGAAATATCCATTCCTCTTTAGTCACCTACATCATTTTTTGATAACTCTTTGTATCTGATTTGATGTGTATTTATTAAAAAGTCTAAGCAGAGCCAATTAGTCAGTGGCTTGGCTGAATACTATAAACCCAGCAGCACCTCAGGAGGCTGAGGCAGGACAATTGCAAGGTCAAGGCCAGACTTGCCAACTTAATGAGACTCTATCTAATAAAAATAAAAAGGGCTAGGGATGTAGATCAGTGGTGGTTCAATCCCCATACCACTTTAAAAAGAAAGTGGTATGGGGATTGATTTGTATAATGAGCCATCTTTTTTTTTTTTTCTAGTAGGGAAAAAAAATGATTTACAGAAATGTAGAATGGAATCTTTACGCATTTTGACCCATGATTAATCCTCAGTAGAACAAATTAAAGGAATAAGAACATTGCCTATTGAGTGCATCAAGGAAACTTCACATGTGTCCTCAGCCCATTTGGTCTTTTGGCAGGTAACCTGTCTGGTCAGAGTGCAGCTTCAGTCTTGCACCCCCAGCAGACCCTTCATCCTCCTAGCAACATCGCAGAGACCGGGCAGAATCAACTGTTACAACCTCTTAAGCCATCTCCTTCCAGTGATAACCTCTACTCGGCCTTCACCAGTGATGGTGCCATTTCAGTACCAAGCCTTTCTGCTCCAGGACAAGGTAAGGAAGAGATCAAAGCAAACATCATCTTCCAGAAACATTAAAATGAAGAAATTGCCATACCTGGGAGAAATGCCTAATGAGTAAACCTATTGGCACTAGCTAACCTGAACATGGTCTACATGTTATACACTGATGTATCTTTGGGCTCATCAGAGAAGTTGAGTGATGATCAGAATCATTGAGTTCATTGCTCCCATTAGGTGAGCTATTTTTCAAGGGATTACTGTGAAAAGTTACATCTACAGTCTTTATAAATAACTAATTTGTGTTTGGAATGTAGGCTTTACTGCTAGGCTGAGATTTCCTGGACCAAATTCTAAGGAATTTTAGCAGTTTCTAAAAAACAGTGTGTTTTCTTAGCTATTGTAAACTTTTTTAAGTATGGGAGTAACTAAGATGACTAGCTCTACTATTTAATTTTTCATCTATAATCTCTTCTTTCCAAATATAGTTTTGTTCATTAACAATTATTGCTCAAACCATTCCTACAGAAGAAGGAGCTTTCAGTAACATTAGAATAAGAAGTGAAAAGAGTTGAATATCTGGGCAGAAAATTATGAAAAATATAAAGATACATTGGCTTTACCACAACTTACTAGAAAATAGAGATTTGAGAGTTGCTAAGGAACACAAACTAGCTAACATTATTCCAACTGAGAAGAGCTTCAGTATTAGGCAAAAGGAGGGAACCGAGGCCTGATATTTCCTGTCTTACATATCTGACCTTCCCAGAAGCTTTGTTCTTCTCTGTGCCATCTTAGTGCTTTTCACCACTCAAGCCTCAAGTTTCTAACATCTTGTAGTTGTGTTCTGTCTCTTCTCCTCTCTCTGTTCTTCCGTTTTCCCCCTCTCACAGGCTGTGCGAAGTTTAACTGTGCATCTGAGCAGGTGACATTCAAACCTGGTGGCAGGAGGACCCGATTTCTGAGTACGCCCTGCTTGGCTCTTTGTGTGTAACACCTTTACTCCTTCCTTGTCCTTGTTTTTCTGCTGCTTGGATCTGATGTGTCACGCAGTCCATTTTCATTTGTCTCTTTGTGTATCATCTAGTCAGTGGCTTGGCTGAATACTATTGCCCTCAGAAGTTTGGGTCCCTGTGTTAATTATGGTAAAAGATGTAAAAATAATATTGGATTTCTATAGATGTCAAAATAACTCTCTAGTAGAATTGCTTCTTCCTAGATCCATGATAGATATGGATCCAGGATAGATAAGAGATCAAGACTTTATACTGGGTCATTGAGAGTAATGAAGACCACACCTAGTCATATTCAGTATTGTCTCTCAGCCAGCCCCGGCATTAGGAGTGACAAAAAGCATCTTAACCACTGATGCACTTAGGTCCTTGAAGCAGGTAAAAGTTTACCATATTTTCTAGTCTTTTCAGAGTAGGCGGGAATCTTGTTTTCTCCTCATTAAGCCTAAACATCTACTAGTTGAAAAGATGGTAGAAGTTTCTTCATTGGATCCATTACTGCCCTCTTTCCCCATGAGATTAATAGTTCAAAAGGGGGTTTACTGTGGTTATCCAAGATAAAGCATTTATTCTATTAATGACCAAAGCCCAGCACCTTTAAGTGAAAGCTGCCTTTTTAATCTGATTGCTGGGATTTCCTAGCCATATATATATATATTAGTTGTTCAAGACAATACAATGCCTTATATTTAAAAGCAAAGCACAGTAGCAAATCACCCATCTTCCCCATATGTGAAGAAGACAGTTCCTATCTCCTGGGGCATATAAATCAGATAAGATCATAGACACAAAAATAAATGACTCTTGGGACATAGTCATGGTCCATGGTACTCTCTGATTAGCCAGTGCCTATCTAGCACTTAGTAAGTGATCAATAAATGTATATTAAAATAAAAATTTCACAAACAAAGCTCAACTTTAAATTTTTTTATTTTTATTTATTATTTTATTTATTTATTTTTTGGTTAGAATTTGGATAACTATCTGTTAAGGCCTCAAACTTCTGGTGTGGTTATTGAAGTGCTTTTTAAATGCATGTGCTAAGGCCATCAGTGTTTGAGTATATGGTTCAGAGATCCTGGGCCTCTTCATGGTGGGAAGAATTTACACTCTCCTTTGTCCTCTGTAGTGACCAAATTTCAGAGTACATTGAAATTACATTTAATTTCCATTTCCCTCACTGTCACATTTGTAAATCTTTAAAAAGAAGAGGGTAAAAGACATTACACAGCTTGGTAATTTTCCAAGCTTGTGTAATTTTAGAACATTCCCATCTATATTTTTTCTGGTTAGACTAGCCTGGACAATGCCTATTAAGTGCTAATAAGCATTTAATTTGCATGTCCAGCTAGAAAGATGAAAGGACATTAGTAGTAGGAGACAAGTGTTTTGAAATAAATTTGATTTGTCAGGCCTATGATATGCAGCCTGAAATGATTGAGACACACACACACACACACACACACGTTCCCTGTCTTTTGAGAGGGAAGAAAGAAAACAGACTTTTTTTTTTGGAAGTATGAGATGATAAGTATCACTTTAATTCTGTTAGTTCTCATCAGACATTTAAAGGTAGGTGGTATCACACCCCTTTGTTCAAATAAAAGTGATTAGAAATTAAATCTTTTCACTTCCCCTTTGGTCTAAATGAGAGGCCATACATCTTTGAAGGCACATCAGGATTCAGTATGTAAGCTTGCTGTGCAAATCCTAAGAGGCAGACTTAAAAATATGGGGAAAAAACAGGTATCTGTAAGGATCTGGGGGCCTTATTAGTTTGGGTTACATTATTCTGTACTCTCAAAATAATAGATAATGGTTTTGAAGCACGGCTTGGCTTAATGCTCTGTTTATGTTCAAAGGTTGCTTGTTTTCCACATATTTTTAAAGATTTTTCTGGAAGGGAAGGGGTTAGTGTGTTTATCTAGAATATAGAAATATAATAGCCAATTTAAATTAAAATTGTAACAGTGGTACTAATTTTATTGAGTGCTTTATAACAACCCAGCAGGAGAAACAAGAAGTGAGACAGTATCAGTGGAAACACTGCTTGAGTGTTTGAAATTCAAGCAGTGAGACCTTAGGTACTGGAGTTTCTCCCCTTACCCTTTGAAAAACAGAGATTGGATGTGGAAACTCAACACATTTCAACAGGCAACACGCTCTGTCAGATCACTGTGTGAAGGCTAACAGCCAGTTAGATAACATCCCATAGAATTTTGTCTATGTCAAGGCTACCAGGTCCCACCCATCTGTCTCCCCTCCTGCTCTCTCTTGCTGGGACTCTGTATGCTGTTTGGAGAATCTAAAGATTTTACACTGATGTTTCTTTATCTTTAACACACTGCTCTCTCTTTGTGCTTCAGGGAAGATGGTGAAAAAAGTTTGTCCTTGCAACCAGCTCTGTAGTAATTATCTTTTCTGTTACTTTTGGTCCTTGATTGCAAAGCCTGTTATCCATGAGTTCTTTGAACTCTGAAGCTTCATAATTCCAGCTTCCCAACTTCCATCTATCTCTGCACCTTTTCTAATGTATTCTTTAACATGCTTAATTGCTAACACCTGGCTATAATATCAGATTGAGAAACCACCTCATAGTCAGTGCTCTCCCCTTGTAAACCTAGCTCAATGACAGTCATGGATTGGTAGTGCCTGTGGATGTGCATGGGGAGCTAGGGGTGCCTAGCTCCTGTAGGAAAGAGTTCTTTAGTTAGCAAGTAGGTACCAATCACTGTTCTGCACCCTGTAGAGACTTAGCAGTTATCAAAGTGGACAGAGTCTATGCCCTCCTATTGTTTACATCATGGTGGGAGACAGCTTCTAGATTAGTGCGGAGAGAAATACTACTTTGGAGAGTTTGGCTTCTTAGACTGGGGTCTTTTCATATAATTCTGCAACCCAGCAGGCCACCTAGCAAGAGTTAACAAGAGAACTCTACTCTTGGGATACCAGGCAATAAGTTGTGAGTCCTAATGGGTTATGGTTCCTAAGATCCGGCAGCATGGAGGTAGGGGAGATGTTTTTTTTTGGCAGGAAGGAATCAAAACATGAATTTGGGGAGGTTAAAGTCTATACCACTTTTTAGGGCTTTTCAGAAGGATTGAAAAAGTTTTCAAGGTGAGTTAGCATGTTCTCTAGAAGGTCTCTCTCTACTAGTCAGGTCTATGTTATAGTCAACCTTGCTTTTCCTAGGGGTGAATTTCTCATCAGAAAGGGATTTTTGTTTCCTTTTTTAACTGGAAGCCTATTTACAGAAGCCAAAGTAAAAAAGTTAACTGTATGGTTCGTACTCCTTCATGTCATAAGCCCCACTTTCAGAATCCAATACTGGGTAATACAGGTTAAAATGAAAAGTGAAATTTAGTTCTGAAGGGGCCTCACACTATCAAGAGCAGCTAGCATCAGACTAGAGAAGTGTGACTCCCAGCATGAGCTCTCTGTGGTTAAGCAGTGCTCACCTCCACTCAGCTTCTCATATTTGGCATTGGACAGCCCTGTTCATTCATGATGACTTCTGTTTGTTTTGATCGTTTCACTAAACAGTAGTCACCCTAAGCAGGATGCCAGTCCCCAATGCATGCTGTGTGCTTGCTGTCTGGATTTCTTTGTTATCATGATTGCCCGTCCTCATTGCCTGTACTTTCCATTTCCCTCTGTCTCACATTTGCTATTTGAGGAAGGCTGTTTCCTGTGCTTTTATATTTTTCCACTTGGGTTTCCTGTACTCCAGGGGAATCCACTCTTCCCCCTATATACCCTGTGTGCAATGACAATACCCTGTGGCTCCAGCGGCACCACGTGAGCTGTCACTCACACTGCAGTAGTTCCGTGTCTTGCCACGGTGGTAAGAAGCATGTGACCTTCCTCACTCTGCACCTTCACCTCAGAATTAACTGTTCCTCTAGTGTAGACATGCTTGTATGTGCCATTCCCTGAGTGGAAAGACGGCAAATTGACTTGAAACCAGCAATGGATTATAAAGGCTGTAAGTGGCAGTGTTGCTTCAGGTGTGCTGCTGTGCTCTGGTGTGCTGCTCTGTCCTTGAAAGCAGGAAAACGCATGAACTTATTTAGCCCCACTATTACTTGGGTTTCGTCAGGCCTACTGGCTCACAACTTATTTTAGTAGCTTTTATTTATTCTGCAGTAAATGTGAGATCTGTTAAGAAAGTGGGGGATGAGGAAAAAAAAATAAGACCATGACTCTTCTTTCCCTCTTCCCTAAAACTTGCCTCTTCGAATAAACCTTCAGTGTGCCCTCCAGCAGAGCCGAAATCAGGCAGGACACAGACTCCTTCTTCCTTTTTCATCAAACCATAGAAATAGAATTCCTTCATCATAACCCGAAAGCTTCCTCTACCCTCTGCACCCCTGCCTCAGCTGAACTGTCCTGTTGCTTCTACATGGGAGTGTTTGCTGCTCTGGGAAGAGGGGGAGAAGGTGTGAGAATCCTTGAACCAATTGAAACTGAGATCGTCTTCAGGAAAACATGTCTTCCTGAAGTTGATTCGGTCACTTCCCTTGCCTAATCTTTGTTCTTTACTCATGGAAAATTGAGAAGGGTTGAAGGCTTAACTCTTTCCAAGTTTATATTTACAAATTTATATTCGTGGGTCAAAGTGAAAAAAAAATTTAACAGAGCATGCTACTTCTCTTAATACTACTTTCTATTAAAGAATGACTTAAAAATGTGGCAATATCCACATGATTTGAGAACCCATATTCTCCATAGCCAAGTACCCATCTCTGAACTTCTACCCCAACTTTAACCTGCCCAGTGCACAAGAAATCCTTCTTTTGCCCTGCATTCTGCAAACTTCCACAGCAGTGCTCCTTGTTGACCATATTATACTCTCACCCAGTGTGATGCTGGGAATAGAGCACTGGCAGAAAGTTCCAGTACTTTAAGATGCTTTGAAAGAGATTCCTGCCCTTCATACCTGCCATCTTCCTAAGTTGTTCAGACTTATCTGCAGTTACTGAAGAGAACCTGTTTTCATTACCCTTTAGTGCCAAAACAAATGCCTAAATAAAACCTTGTAATCTTCCTTTCTTGCATGGCTTCCCAATTCCTGTCCCCATTCTGTGCTTGCCATTCATCATCCTGTGACATTTTCCCTCTTCCTGGAATTAATAATCTAGACTCTTTTCTTAATGCTGCTATTGTCACTACTTTATAACTCCAGGAACCAGCAGCACAAACACTGTTGGGGGAACAGTGAACAGCCAAGCTGCCCAAGCTCAGCCTCCTGCCATGACATCCAGCAGGAAGGGCACCTTCACAGATGACCTACACAAGCTGGTAGACAACTGGGCCCGAGATGCCATGAATCTTTCAGGCAGAAGAGGAAGCAAAGGACACATGAATTATGAGGTAAGGGCTTCTTTTTTGCCATTTTCCTAATTTCTCACATTACTACCTAACACAGATGAATCAGAGGTGATACAAACTACTAGGTCTAGTGTACCCTTTTATGCCACAACCTTCCTTAGTAGCTCACTTAGAAAAACAAGATGAAAATCACCCAAGTGCCCTTTTACTTTCCCTTCCCTGAATCCCTGACTCCTTATTGGTCAGCTCATTTTTTTCTTCCCTTTTCCTTTAACATTCTAAACTACGTGAGCATGTGTACACACACCTTCCTCCTTCCAATAGGCGTGGTATTTTCATTGCTCCTAGAATTGTATTATTAAACTGCCCATTTTACCCCTGGGGGTATTATACCCCCACCAGACTTTAAACTTAGTTGTTTTTTGTTTTCAGGGCCCTGGAATGGCAAGAAAGTTTTCCGCACCTGGACAGCTTTGCATCTCCATGACCTCAAACCTGGGTGGCTCTGCCCCCATCTCTGCAGCATCAGCTACCTCTCTAGGTCACTTCACCAAGTCTATGTGCCCCCCACAGCAGTACGGTTTTCCAGCTGCCCCATTTGGCACTCAGTGGAGTGGGACGGGTGGCCCAGCACCACAGCCACTTGGCCAGTTCCAGCCTGTAGGAACTGCCTCCTTACAGAATTTCAACATCAGCAATTTGCAGAAATCCATCAGCAACCCCCCAGGTTCCAACCTGCGGACCACTTAGTGAGACCTAGAGACATTAATTGAGTAGATCTGGGGGCAGGAGATGGAATGCTGAAAGGAGGGTGGGGGGATGGGGAAGTAGCCTATTTACTAACTACTAGTGCTGCATTTAACTGGTTATTTCTTGCCAGAAGGGAATGTTTGTAATACCGCTTTGAGCCCTCAGAATGGAGACTCTCCCTCCCTCTCCATTTATTGGAATGGGACAAGGAGAGAGCAACTTTCTTGTGAAGAGGCTGCTTCAGTCTATGCTTTCCTATTTATCTATACCCACCAGTGAGGCCTAGGGCTAGAAGAGAATCTTGTTATCAAGAAGCTACAAGAGAGCTCAATGTAAAGCCAGAGCCCATTTGTATCTGCAAGTGGGTACAGCTCTTAATTGTGGTACAAGCCCCAAATCCCTTACTCCCTCAAGAATTCAAACCATCAAACAATATAGGGTTCTCTCCTACTCTGCCCCCATCCCTGCTTTTTTCCCTCTCTCCTCTTTTAGAACCCAGTGAAAAATACCAGGGGACTGGGGTTGCAACCCTTTCTTATAATAGGTCATTAGTGCTTTAAGCAAAAGATAATAGCAGCTTTGACTGCAGCATTAGCAATTAGGAAAAAAAAAAATACGTTCCCTGCGGACATGTAACTTTGCCATCAGTTTTGATGTGGAAACACTGTGATATATAAATGTTGTTGGACAACAGTAGTTTTAAGAGTAAAATATGAAAGGTTTAAAAAGTTCACACACAAAAAAAGCTAGTTCTGTCCTTTACTTATTGAGACACTTTAACTTTTTCCTTTGTACTTCCATTGTATTAGATAAATAAATGTGAATGTAAAATTGTATAAATTACTGTACTTGAATACTTCTGTTCTCCCAGTATTGCTTGCTGGATATTTTAGTGCCTTGGACTTCTATTGCTTCTGCCATTAGCATCAACTTACCAGATCCCAGATCAACAAAGGGCATGTGGAAAGAACATTTAGGTCCATGTGACCCCAGCAGTGGATATGCCAAAGGGAAATTGAAAAGAGTATTTTTTTTTTAATCATTCAACAATTTTGTCTAAAGCAGGTGTAAGATAAGTAAGATGGGAAGTTGACATCAGTGGTTGAAAACAGTAAGTTCTGTTTCAGGAATAGTGAGGGAGGGGTGTTACATCAAAATTGCACAATATAAAAGATTAAGGGAGGTGTGAGCTAAGAGAAAGAAAAAGAAAGGTTAATTAAAGGGGGCACACACTTGTTTCGAAGATACCTGACGCCTGGCCAGATTGTCGTAAATCTTACTGATTTGAGCTGGGCTTGAACAGATGAGACCTGGAAGAAATTAAACATAAGGAGAAGGGGATGGGTAGCTCATTTTTTAAGGTGGGAAGAGTGGCAGATGGAAAAAGTTGCTCCAAGAAAAACCATTTGGACAGCTCTCTTCATGCACCTACACCTTGCATTTCTCAGCTTGGGGTACTCTTATTCTATGGAAAGCGGACCAACTTCTGATTTAATAAGCATTGTAGGAAAGAATGCTTTATTTCTGTTTTCTCTATGATGATGCCCAAATGGTTGCAGGATCATAATCTGTCGTGCCACCTATATTTCTACAATTATAACTAATATTCTCACATTGTTCATTTACATACTCCCTCTTCATAACTGCAACCAACCAGTATTATTTAATGCTATGTCTAGTTGTAATGGGCAGTTCTGTTACTTTCAGAACTTTCCAGAAATAAATACTGTTCTAATTGGCTATGTTTGGGATATTCTCAGTGAGAAGATGGGGAAAGAAAATAGGACTTTTTCTTGGGTGCTGCTTTTCTTGACTTAGTTGGGACATACCGTATTTCCAACCTTTCACCCACCTCAATGGCACATCCCAGGAGTCTCCATGATAGGAAGAGCCTGGTAGCTGTCCAGATCTTTTTTGTTCCATTTTGGCCCTGGTTCTGTTTCTTTATTAAGTTGGCCTAGGCCCCAGAGATACCAATGAGAGAGAGCTAAAGGTTTTAGGGAGGTAGAAATGAAAAGGGCAGGGGTTCCAAGCCCTGCTGCAGAAGTGCTGACTTATTTTTCTGTTTAATTCTTGGGAAGAGGGTAAGAGTGAGAACAAAGATGATGCCGAGTAAATGGGAAATGGACCGCTTGAAGTGAATGAAATGATACTTCTACCAGAGGAATGAGGGTGCCAAATGCAGCACATTGTTTTGTTATTTTTGGTTTAGCAATTTTGAGGTCTTTTCACTTATACACAAAAATAAGAACTGGTTTTATTTACTGTTGATTTTTTCCCCCTCCTGTGGATGAAATAACTGAAGCCTAGAGGAATGAACTAGTGCTACTGAACTGTTTAAATTATTTTTGTTAATAGTACCCTTCAAGTATCTTTTCCATATTAAAAAGAACTTTCTGAACTATAAATGTTTTCCTTACATTATTTAACAATGTACACTGTTTAAAAAAACAAACTGAATTCAAACCTTGGGGGTTTCTCAGCAGCCGTTAATTGTACATTTTGCACTAACTCTGGGTGTTGCGCTTCTTGTAAGATTGCGCTTTGTGCTTCAGTTTGTTACCTTTGTAGACTTATTTAATGAAACCATTCAAATAAACCAAACTTGCTTTTGTTGAGCTGTGGGGTTTCATTTCCAGGAAGTGCCTTTTTCATGTTCTCATTGGCTCTGTTGTGCAGTTTACAACTGAATTCCCATTCCCTCTGGAACTTCAGCAGTGATGTTGCCCTCAATTAAGATTCTGCAAGGAAAGTGGACTTTTTCTGAGGAAGACATTAAGGATCTCAAAATCAAAAGATGAAAACACCAAATCCACGCAACACCAATAAGGCTTTTAGAAGACAGGCAAATTCAGGCAGGCAGGCGCTGTCTCTTCATCTTCTAAAGGAACAGGAAAGGTCAGCAGCTGTCCAGTACTTTCAAGACTCACTTGCCTCACATTGGGGCACCATTATCAGTGGTCTGGGATCCAAAAAGTAAAAAGTCACTACTTCAAGATTAGGCCCAGAATGCACTTTAAAAAGTAAAACTGCAAATGCATTATTTTGGGAAAACAATCATGAAACATCTAAATACTGTGAAAAATAAATTTTATTTTACAGTGGATTCCATCTCACATTACAAACAGCTACTAGTATTAAGTAAATTTGCTTTCTTGATCATTTCTACTCCCTACCTTTACATCAAGTCTTCTGCTAGTCCAAAATACCGCTATTCTGCTCCCCTTATTGTGAATTAGCATCTGCATATCAGAAAATTCAGCCTTTGGTTCTTTGAAATTGGCTTATTTCACTTATCATGATCACAGTTCCATCCATCCATTCATTCATTCTTTATGACTAATACCCCATGTGTATATGTACCACTTTCTTTATCCATTGAAGGACACCCAGGTTGGTTCCATAGTTTAGCTATTGTGAATTGAGCACCAATTTGCAGTCCCACTAACAATGTATGAGAGTGCCTTTTTCCCCACATCCTTGCCAACATTTGTTATTGCTTGTGTTCAATCAAACGATTGCCATTCTGACTGGAGTGAGATGGAATCTCAGTGAAGTTTTGATTTGCATTTCCCTAAATACTAGAGATGTTGAACATTTTTTCATTTATTTGTTGATCGACTGTATTACTTCTGTGAAGTGTCTATTCAGTTCCTTTGCCCATTTATTGACTGATCGTTTTTGTTATTTGTTTGGTGTTAAGTTTTTTGAGCTCTTTATATATCCTGGAGATTAATGCTCTGAGGTGCATGTACCTTTTTCTTGATCTTCGATCATTATTTCTTTGATTAGCAAAGAATGTTGGTCTTAAAAGGATGCAGAATTGTGCTGACATGAACCCACATCTGAGAGATTTTATAGTATTCCCTCTCTTACCCATAATTTTGCTTTCCAAGGTTTTTAGATTGAACATCAGTCTAAATAATGTGATAAAATCATATGCTTTCCCACCCAGGACATGAATCATACCTTTATCCAATATATCCATGCTATATGTGTTATCTATGCATTATTCTTCTTAGTTATTAGATCAACTTGGGCATTGTTGCCATGCTTGTATCGAAGTTCAAGTAACCCTTATTTAATGTCCACAAAGTGTAAGAACAGGGATGCTGACAATTTGGATATGTTATATATAGAGAGAAGCCTGAAAGTACTTTTGGAGCATGGCCTCTACATTGCTGTATATTGAGGGCAGGTAGCCATTAGCGAGTCCTAAAATGTCTACCTTTATTAACATTAAATAGCTTAGGAGTAAAGAGGAAAAAGCCTGAAGAGTCAAAAGACGGGTATTTCATCTGTCCTTGGCCTCCCTACTGCAGCACGTGACAGACTTTTTCAAAGTGCTCATCTTTCTCTGTAGTAGGCTTAACAGTCAAGTCCTCTGAAAAGGTTCAAAATGAATCAAGGTAATCCTTGGAAATCAAGTTCATTCCCCAGGAATGACGAATAATTTCAAGACCAAAAAGCAGTTTTCCAAAGTCCCTTTGTCACAGTCCAAGTAGGTCCTGAGTCATTTAAGATGGATCCAATTTCCTTTTCTTCATGTCCTGGCTCTTCCTATGAGATTCAGAGTTTCCTGTGGAAGATACAATGGCTTAAACACAGCTGCCATGTTTTTTAAAAATAAGGGCTAGATAGAGAATAATTCTAGATTAACATAATGATCCTAGTTCAGACTAAGAGCTCAAGAATGAAAACTACTGTTATGGGGAGTAGATACCTTTGCTAATCCCTAGGCCAAGCGGACCTACTTTTAGAAGGAAAAGTTCTAAATGCAGTCATGTCTAAGGCTAAAAAGGGTAGCATCTGAAATCAGAAGCCCAAGAAAATGTTCTGGCTCTTAAACCCACTGTTTTCTTCCCATTTGCACTGCTTATTTATTGCCTTGGAATGATTCCATCCAATTTCTTAAAATGAAATATCATCCTTCCTTTAAAATTTAAAGAATTAAGCCCAGGATCTCCCTTTAAGTTTGTACCTAAACACATCGCACTGCTACGTGTTACATGCTGGTTAGTGCTGTAAGTCTCTGGGTGCCAGAATCCAGATTTTTCTTGTGGCTTCTGGTGAAGATCGCTGTGTGGCATCCTGTCCTGATTGTTCAGGACTCGGGTGGCAGAGGTCTGGGGTGGATCTGGTCTAGATAAGGGCTTGACAATGTCCTCTAAATCTGGAGTCAGATCCCACATTTCAAGATTGTCTTCAAGGTTCTCTAATGGAAATCACAGAAAAGCAAATTGTCTTCACAGAAAGCACTGGGAAAAGTGGTCACAAGAAATTCCAGGTCTTAAGTACCCAATAACAAAATTCACAATTTTTCTCTTCTTTGCCCTGAAAAGTATACTGAAGCTTCCCTTTGTTGGGACAACAGAAGAGCTAAACATATCTATGAAGTCAGAGCCCCTTAGTCTACCTGAAGGCCTCTTTCCATTTTTCTAAAACTTCATATAGGTTAGAAAACAGACAAAAGTGAAGCCCCCACACACACTTTTTTGGGGGGTACTAGGGATTGAACCCAGGGACACTTTACACTAACATCCTTAAGCCTTAAGTTACTGAGGGCCTCACTAAGTTTCTGAGCCTGGTCTCCAACTTGCAATCCTCCTGCCTCAGCCTCCTAAGTCTCTGGGATTACAAATGAGTGCCACCACACCCAGCCAAAAATTAGGACTTTTATGCTTCTTTTAATATGTATTCTGTGACTACCAAAAGTATGCACCACAGTAAATTACAAACATTCCATGGATACTTACTAATTCTTATGTCATTTACCTGCAAGGAAAACTTTCTCCTTGAGTGGCTCTGTGTCAGTTATAGGGGTGCTGTGCGTCAAAGGGCGGGCAGGAAGTGCTGCTAGAGTTCACACAGGAGAGAAAGAAGAAGTCAGACATAGACTGATTAAGTGGAATTAGAGATCAGATCAACTCCCCTCTGTTTAGAGGGAGCCATCTCAGAAATGCAAAGCTGCCTGAGGCTACAAAGGCTCAGCTGGTAAAGGAACTCAACTTCCTGAGTCCCTGTCCTTCGAGATCTGTACTGTTATATCCTTCTCACCAAAGTGGGACAAGCAAAAGCTAGTGTGTTCTTTAACAGAAAAAATAGGAGGGTGGCTGGAGTTGTAGCTCAGTGGTAGAGGACTTGACTACTTGCACTCGGTTTGATCCTCAGCACCACATAAAAATTAATGGATATTTTGTCCATCAACAACTAAAATGTACATTTCTTATACACACACATATATACATACACATATACATACATATGGCTAATTTTTAAAAAATAGAAGGGTTTTTAGAAGCCATCCAGGCTGAGGCTTGAAGCGATGGTTCTTGTTGACTGATAAGTTTGGGGAAAGCCCTGGAGTCCGCCTTCCTCCACCACAACCCACCTGAGAGCACCTGCAATGGTCAGAAGCTAAGCCTCTGGAATAACTCGTTCTTAGGATAGGCCAAGGACAGTTTCTTTTTCTTTTTTCTTTTTTGGGGGGGGGGGGGGGGGTTGCTGGGGATTGAACCCAGGGCCTTGTGCAAGTGAGGCAAGCACTGTACCAACTGAGCTATATCCCCAGCCCTGTGTATAAAAGCTGAGGAGGATGAAATAACCAAAACACAAAGTACATCCTCTGAATCCTCATCATTTGTGGGGAAAATTGGCAAAAATTCAGTTGGTCTGGGACATGCCCTTTCTTTCTTTCCACTCTCTGCGCCACCCCCAACTCTCCCCGTCAAAAAATGTCTTACTACTCCCACTGAACCTGCACTCTGAAATAAGCTAAAGTTCACTGGCAGATAACCTGCCAAAAGCTCCCATTATCTTCAAACCCAATTTGCCTTACACTCAAAGCCATTTAGGAAAAAAAATAAGGCTTTCTAATCCAGAGACAAAGTATCTGAAGCCAAAAAAAATTCTTTGCCCTGAAATTATGAATTCCACATTATGGCAAGGCCTATTTACTTCCCCCCCAAAAAACCACTGTCTTCAGAAACAGCAAAGTACATGGGAGATTTCACCATCTTAATTTACTGGACTCATCTATCCTGTGTGTTCTGATAGAGGCCCTCATGGAACCTGGCCTGGAGCTAACCACCTTGTTACTGGCCTCTTCAGAATCAGGTCATCCTGTCCCCTAGACTTCTTCCTTCAGAGCACACCCAGGCCACTGCTGCCAGCCCTCACACACCCTCACTCCTCTTCTCAACCTCTGGAGCAGGCATCTGAGCACGTGGCTGCTTCTCCATTTGCTCCCGGAACTGCCGCTGCAGCTGCTGCTGCCGGAGCTTCCGCTGGTATGTGGCATCACTCTCCGCGGTGCAGGGTGTCGGGCTTCTGCATCTGAAGATCAAGAAGGTAGTTAACCAAATTACTAACAAATACACAGGTCTTCAGGAGGCACACAAACCAACTTGCTGCTTCTAAAAGCAGAAATGGCAGCAACCCAAGCCACAGAGAGGGCAGAAGAGGAAAAGGACAGAATCTGGGCTCCTACCGGGAACTGCTGGCCTTGTCCCCCTGGAGCACAATGTGGGGATCATCCAAGTGGCTTGGTCTGCATGGAGAGGTCACCTTCTGTGGTTTTGAAGGTCCCACAGCCCTATTCAGTAGACAGCTGTTATATCTTGCCTGTTCCACAGATGGTTCAAAATCTTGTCTCTTTGCTTTAGTTAAATCCATTTCATGAGGCAACTAACAAGGGGAGAAAGGAGAAAAAAAATTTGCTCAAATTGCTTACCCCGTTCCTTTCTCTTCCATGCATCATAGCCTAGGACTCCCAGAAAATGGCATTTGCCAGTCGCCTATCCATCATTCTTCCTAGGTCCTAAAAGGCTGAGAAAAAAGATCCACAACTTCCAAGTCATTTTGTTTTAAGACAGGGTCTTGCTGTTGCCCAGTCTGGCCTCAAACTGCTGGGCTCAAGCGATCCTCCTGCCTTAGCTGCGACCACAGTTCACGCTTCCACATGTCACAACCACATGTGGAAAAGTGAACAATTTTACTTTTTATTTTATAATTTTCTATATTAATGATCTTTTTATAAAAAAGAACCCTTCTTTGTTTTTGACTCAGGGCAACAGTCTGTATAATCTAATTTGAATCTCTCCTTGGCAGCTGACCTGTCTTATACTGTCCCCTTGTTCCTTTTTTCAGAGAAGAGATGACACATAGTCTTTGAGGAGACCTGTATCTTCTCAGCCCTCCCAGCCAGCAGTGCTCCCTACAAACACAACATTCATCACTAAAGAAGTTGAAGGTATGATGTAGTACAACTAAAACATTTTGGTACTGGGGATTGAATCCAGGTGCGCTTAACCCCTAAGCCACATCCCCACCCTTTCTATTTTTTTATTTTTGATACAGGTGACGCTGGCCTAGAACTTCCAAACCTCCTGCTTCAGCCTCTTGAGTCTCTGGAATTATAGACATGTACCACCATCCCCAGTGAGAACATATCTTTCAATTCATAAAAGTGATGCTGATGAATAATTATTTGAATACAAGAAATTAAAATGACTATATTTTAATAATGATAACATGAAAATGAAAATTATAGTTTGGATTTCTTATCTACATTGAAATGTACCTGAGAAGGTTAAAAAGACACAGCAATGCCAGGCACAGTGGCACACGCCTATAATCCCAGCATCTTGGGAGGCTGAGATAGGAGGATCGAGAGTTCAAAGCCAGCCTCAGCAATTTACCAAGGCCAAGCAACTCAGTGAGACCCTGTCTCTAAATAAAATACAAAATAGGGCTGGGGATGTGGCTCAGTGGTTAAATGGCCCTGAGTTAAATCCTAAGTACCAAAAAAAAAGACAGCATGAAATATAATATTAAGGGAAATAAAATATATTTAATATGTCTAAATGCTTATTTTTTAGGTGTTTCAATTATCTATTTAAACTTTTATTTATAAGTCACAATAATTCAAGTTGCTGTTTAAAAGAAAAAAAAGCTAAAAAAAAAAAAAAAAGGGAAAAAGACTGGCAATACCAAGTAATGTTCAGGTTATGAAACAATTAGAGCTCTTAATAATGCTATGTGGAAGTGCAAATTCATACAATCATACTGGAAAAGTAGAAGAACCTACTAAAACTAAGTATCTTCTGAACTAGTAAGTCCTAAGCAAAATGAGTACAATTGAGTTCCAATAGACACACACAAGAGTGCTAAAAGGAGCTCTATTCAAAATAGCCAAAAGCTACAAAAAACCCACATGTCCATTAAAGACAGAATGGAAAAACAAATTATCATATATTCTTGCAATAGAAAATTATACATCAATGAAAATGCTGCATGCACCATGAATGAATCTCACAGAATGCAGGAAAGCCAGATAGAAGAGTTCTGACAATATGATTACAGAGAGTACCTAACAATCAAACAAATCTATTAAAAGTGGTTCTCCATGGCAGGCTGGGGATGTAGCTCAGTAGTACAGAGCTTGTCTAGCATATGTGAGGTCCTGGGTTCCTCCCCAGCACTGCCAAAAAACACCAAAAACAAACAAACAAAACAACAGTGGCTTTCCTTGGTAGTGACTGCAAGGAATAAAAATGAGACTTCTCCAATACTAGTCATGTTGTGTCCTGATCCAGAGGCTGTTACGTGGATGTGTTTGGTTTTAAAATCCATCAAGTTGAACACTGATATTATGTGCACTTGTCTCCATGTCATGTATACTTTTTAATACTTCAATCCATTCTTTAAGAAATATAAAATTCAAAAACAGGAAAAAATATAAGTCTGGAAGACAGAGAAGTCAAGACAGTGGTTACTACTAAAAAGATAAAGGTTAAGTTGTGACAAGGGTATGTATAAATGGCTTCTGGAGAGCTAGTACAGTTCTTTTTCTGAGAGGTAAGAAGCTGTGTTCATTTAGGAAAATTCATCAAGTTGTGCTAATATGATTTGTTCAGTTGTCTGTATATTGCACCTCATTTTAAAAATTCATTAAAAACAGAAGAAATGTAAGTGGCATCGACAAGATGACAGAGTGAGAAACCCCACAGAGAAACCTAACAATATGTGGACCAGAATACCTTAGTGAGAACTCTAGAGCTAGTGGAGAAGCCACACCACCTACACCAATAAAAGTGTGACAGCATTCCAGCAAGAGGGGTTAAGAGCATGTGCAGCGTAACGCACACTCATCCAGCCACTATTCCACCCTGAGCAGAGTGGTACAACTGGGAGGAAACCTCCCCTGCCAGGGAGCTTCCATCAGGATGGAAAACAAAGAATGGATCACATATCCAGTATTCTGGCTTGTTTGTGAGCTGTCTGAGACACCATTTTCTATCCTGTTACCCAGAGCACTAATAGACTAATGGCAGCAGAATTTGGAAGGGACTAAAACAGGTGGGCACCACAACATTTTAGAGCTGCAAGCAGACATCATGAGGGACAAAAGATATGAAAGGTCTGAAAAATCCCAGAACCCTTGGCCGGCCCATGTGGTAAAGGTCTTGTCTTCCACCCCACAAGCCAGGACATAAACACTGGAAAGGTGGGTGGTTTTTCAAATACTCGGATCTCAAAAAAGATCACAAGACATATAGAAGCAAGGAAACAAAACCCAATCAAAGAAACAAAATAAAACTCCTCAAACCCCAAAGTCCTCTAGCAACTCCAGGAAATCCATCACAGATCACCAGTCACAGTGGTGCAGTCTATAATGTGGGAGGCAGAGACAGGAGGATGACAAGTTTGAAGCCAACTTGGGTAGCTTAACAAGGTCCTGTCTCAAAACATAAAAAGGGATAGGGATGTAACCCATTGGTTGAGCACCCCAGGGTTCCATTCCCAGTGCTGCTAAAAAAAATTATATCAATAAATATATACATATATATTACATATATATTTTATGTGTAAAATATATATAATATATGTAAAATTTAAAATGGCAAAGGACCTAAATATTACCTAACATGATATACAAATGGCCAATAAGTTTATGAAAGCATATTAAATATCACTAATTATCAGGAATATGCAAAACAAAACCACAATAAAATATCACTTCCTGCCCATTAGGACTGCTACTATTAAAAAAAAAAAAAAAAGAAGAGGAAAACAGCAAGGATAAATCAGAACTATTACATGATATTAAGTAGGACTGTACAATTGTGCAACTACTATAGAAATCTGTATGACAGTTCCTCAATAATTAAAAAATAGAACTTCTGTAGAATCCAGCAATGCCACTTCTGAGTATATGTCCAAAAAAACTGAAAGCAGAGTTGCCAAGGGTTTTTACACATCTATAATCATAGCAATATTATTCACAATAGCCAAGAAGTAGAAGTAGACCAAATGCCCATCGACAGACGGTGGATAAATGAAACATGGAAATATACACATACAATAGAATATGATTCAGCTTTGAAAAGGAAGAAAATTCTGATGCCTGCTACCATATGGATAAATATTGAGGCATTAATACTAAGTGAAATAAGCCAATCACTAAAAAATAAAAACTGTATGTGACTCCTCTTATGTGAAGTATCCATAAGAGTCAAACTCAGAGACAGAAAGTAGAATGGCAGCCAGGTGCAGTGGCTGTAATCCCAGCAGCTCAGGAGGCTAAGGCAGGAGGATCACAAGTTCAAAGGCAGCCTCAGCAGCTTTGCAAGGCCCTCTCTCAAAATTTCAAAAAATTAAAAAAGAGCCAGGGATATAGTTCAGTGGTTGATTGCCCCTATAGAGGTTGATGGGGTTATTTCATGGGAACAGAGTTTCTGTTTTTCAAGATGAAAAACTCCAGAGATCCGTTTCACAACAATGTGAATAAACTTAACACTACTCAACTGTATACTAAAAATGGTTAAGATGGTAAATTTTATGTGCTTTTATGCCACAATAAAAAAGTAAATTGTAGACTAATATCTTTTGTAAACAATACAAAAATCCTTAACAAAATATTGCATCTAATGTTTAAAAATGATTTTAAAAATAGATTATGGAGTTTTGACAGAGGCCAACTGACCTCTACTAGGGGCTCCAGGGAATGTTGATCTGGTGGCAGCATGGCAGGGACCACAGGGCAGAGAAGGCCACAGAGAAAGCAGGGACTCACCACCAAGCAAGGAAGAACACCCCAAAGGTTAACTCATTCAGGCTCTTGAGTGACTCCAGGGATACTGCAATGCAGATCCCCTACTCCTAAGGCAGATGCTCAGACCACATGATAGATACTTAGAGAAAGAATGGAGATCTGGGGTTGGGGTTGTGGCTCAGTGGTAGAGTGCTTGCCTAGCATGTGTGAGGCACTGGGTTCAATTCTCAGCACCACATAAAAATAAATAAAATAAAGGTATTATGTCCAACTACAACTAAAAAATAATTTTAAAAAAATAAAAAGGAAAAAAAAAAAGCCTGGGGTTGTGGCTCAGAGGTAGAGCGCTCACCTAACATTCGTGAGGCACTGGGTTCAATACTCAGCACCACATAAAAATAAAATGGAGATATTGTGTCCACCTATAACTAAAACATAAATTTTTTTAAAAAAGGACCATCAACAACTAATAAAAATATTAAAAAAAAAAAAAGGAGATCTGCACCTTAAACACACCAGAGCTAAGGGAAAGAAAGAAGGCTGAGCTTTTCTGGGAAGTGACAATGGGCAGAAAAGAACTATGTGCTCATTCTAAGGACTCAGACCATTTCCACCACAGTTCTCTTTACGTAAGACAGGTAATGGAAATTCTCTTGACCTCAATTTCTCCACCTATAAAATGAAGTGACTGATTCCTGACAGCAATAACATTGCTGAAATAAACATTCAAGACTATGTAAATATCTAAATCCTCATTTCTCCCTCCATCCGCCAAACACTCAACCCACAACACAAGAGAACCTGTTGTATTATCTTACCCTTCCATCTAGCCACTCTAACATACCTGGCGTGGAAGCTTATTTAATGACCTCAGATAGTCTTTGTCCAGAATACAATTTCCAAGCGCATTCCCAAAACTCCTAAAGGGAAGAGGAAAAAAGCAAAACAGGATTGTTACATGTAATTTCAGAGTTAAAACTGTACACAAATCGCTTCTCAATTGTATTAGAGGAAATGGATCTAATATATACTCAATAAATGGTTTCTGAACAGGCCACATTCGAATACTTGGATTAGGTTCTGAGAATACAGCAGTGAGTATAACACACAAATCCCTTGAAGAGAGACGGTGATTATGAAAAGACTAAGAAATCACTCATAAAACCTATGCCTTAAAAGGCTTGATTCCTAGACTGGTGGTATTAGGAGGTGATGAAATCTTTACAAGTTGGAGCCTAATGGGAGGTTAAGGTCATTAAAGATCTGTCCTCAAAGGGGATTGTGGGGCACTTGACTTGTCTCTTCTTTATCTGTTTTTTCACTTCCCCTCCAAAAAGTGAATAGGTTGTTCTACCATGCAGTCCCTTCCATGATGTGTTGCTTCACCACAGGCCCAAAAGTGACAGGGTCAACTAATCCTGGATTGAAACTCTAAAACTGTAAGCCAAAACAAATCGTTTCCCTCTATAAGTTGATTTATCTCAAGTATTTGTTACAGTAACAGCAAGCTGACTAGCACAGTACTCATGGCTAAAAGTTACCATGACATGTTCCTGGGGTGGCAAGGACAAAAAAAGAGAATACAGTATTCTACCATTCTCCAACATGGAAGACCTCAGCAAAAACACTGAGGAAACACAAACCAAAATGAGAAAATAGGATAAACAGGCACAAGGGTAGGAGTAAGATTTATCTTTTCATGTTATTTAGATTTTGGGCCCATGTGAACATGTTACTTTTCCAGGAAACTGCTCTTAAACAAGAGCTGAAATAAGGTCAGTTAGACTCCAACCCCTTCTGCTTACCTGAGTGCTCGCTTTAGCCCATCCGTCACTGCCTCTTTCCTGGCCTTCTCCAAAGACAAGGCCTTTGACTTGAGGCCCTCACTAACACCATAACCCACATCTTCATGATATGAACCATCCTGGGGGTGAAAAAGGAGTTCAAACTCTAATATAAAAAGCTGTAGTCCTGTATATGACTGCCCAGCTCTTCTTTTTCTCAAGCAGCAGTGTTCAAACTATGCATATGGAACCCTTGCTGAAGTAGACAGGGCACAGATAGTTCTAAGACATCAATTTCCAGAACTGTTTCCTAGACCGGAAGTACCTGGAAATGTTAAGGCATCAAGATGATTCTCCCTTCCAAAGCCCGTTACATAAGAAGGCATATTTCTAACCCATCCCAAATCTTTCTAAGTTTCATTACCCTGAAGTATAAAAACTCTGGAATTGTCAAGTGAAAGAATAATTTGAAATTTCGTACCTAATGTAATGAGCTCTGATTTGATAGCAAATCTTTTTTTTTTGTTTCTTGGCTTTTGTCAACAGAAATATAATGCTTAATGACAACACTCTGATTTTCTAAAAATAAATCAGAAAGCACTCAAAGAAATGAGGGACACTATAATAAAATTCCTTCAATTCCCAACTACTTATTTGTGTGAACAAGGTTTATTAGTACTTTTTATAAAAATTAATGGTCAGAATGTAAGTAATGATGAACACTCATTCAAGAAATCAGTAATGGGGATGGGGCTGTAACTCAGTGGCAGAGCACTTGTCTAGCACATGTGAGACACTGTGTTCAATCCTTAGCACCACATGAAAAAATAAACAATAGGGGCTGGGGATATAGCTCAGTTGGTACAGTACTTTCCTCACATGCACAAGGCCCTGGGTTCGATCCCCACCACCACAAAAAATAAAATAATAAACAATAAGAAAAAAAAAAAGGCATGCTGTCCATCTACAACTACAAAAAAAAAAGGGAAGAAAGAAAGAAATCAGTAATGCCAGGCACAGTGGCACATGCCTGTAATCCCAGTGACTTGGGAGGCTGAGGCAGGAGGATCACAATTTCAAGGCCATCCTAGGCAACTTAGTCAGACTCTGTCTCAAAATAAAATAAAACAAGCATTGGGATGTACCTGAGTGAAAGAATGTTTGCCTAATATGTGTGAGATCTTGGGTTTAATCCCCAGTACTATTAAAAAAAAAAAGTAATATTCAACTATGGTTCTAACTAACTGACAAATTTAAAAAGCACCATCCATCTTGTTAAGATAGACATTTTCTGTATAAGTTTATTATGTCTTTAAATTTTGGTACTTATGTTGTCTTTTCAACATAAACACCATTGTCTGATGAATTGTCTTAACAATAACTAATAACCTGATCCAGAAGAAATCTTTAATATTTAAAGCCATAAGGTCACTGAAAATTTTTAAATATATATTTTTATACATATACACATGTGCACCAACACCCATAGCACACAGAGGCAAAGAAGTATAATACAATTATCATTAACCTTTCAACCATAAATATATATTAGATAAATCTCAATGGGGGAAACAATGAAAATATGAGTTCAAACAAAGAAGGAACAATGTAAGATTTCTGCTGATTAAAGAAATCTTTATGCTTTATGCTGGGCATGGTGGCACACACCTGTAATCCCAGCTACTTGGGAGGCTGAGGTAGAAGGATTGAAAGTTTTAGTGAGACCCTATGTCATAAAAATAAATAAATAAATAAATAGAGCTGGGGCTGGGGCTGGGGCTGGGGCTCAGTGTGTACTTGACTAGTATGTGTGAGGCTCTGGATTTGATCTCCAGCACTAAAAAAAAAAAAATAGCCAGCTTGCACATGTATTTTCTCAAATAAATGATGGCATTCAATCCCCTATGGTATTTAGATTCCACTGTTAGGTTTAAAAAAGATGTAACAGCCAGGCATGGTGAAGGTACAGTAAAACATGCCTGTAGTCCCCACGACTCAGGAGGCTGATATAGGAGAATCCCAAGTTCCAGGGCCAGCCTTGGCAACTCAGAGAGATCCTGTTTCAAAACAAAGATTTTAAAAAGGGCTGACAATGTAGGTCAGTGGTACAAGGCACCTGGGTTCAGTCCCGGGTACCGAAAAAATAAATAATTAAAATAGAAAAAAAGATGTGACAGTTTTATTTTAAAATGTCAAATTTTAGAATATGCCAGAAGCCTACCTTTTGTAACTACTTATATATGTGGTAAAAACTCTGAAGAGTCAACTTAAGCTGAGAATGGTAGCACACACCTGTAACCTCAGCTACTTGACAGGTAGCCTCAGCAACTACAGAGATCCTATTTCAAAATTTAAAAAATAAAAAATAATACCAGTTGGGATGTAGCTCGTGGCAGAGCCCCACTGGGTTCAATCCCCAGTACAGCAAAAAAGAAAAAAAAAAAACGTTGTCAACCTAAAAATGTACAAGAAGACAGGGCAGTTTTTCTTTTCTTTCAAGGGGATGGATTTTCAAAATTCTTCTGGCAGGGTTTGGGGTTGTGGCTCAGTGGTAGGGTGCTTGCCTAGCATATATGTGAGATACTGGGCTCAATTCTAAGTACCACATAAAAATAAAAAAGAGAATAAAGGTATTGTGTCTATCTACAACTAAAATGTGTGTGTGTGTGTGTGTGTGTGTGTGTGTGTGTGTATGTGTGTAAATTTATAAATTCTTCTGGGGGATACATTAGTAAAAATTTTGAACACCACCACCCCAGGGACACAACCCTCAGCCTGCTCTTCAGCGTGGCTGTGTATTGGTCCAGACACTTCCCTCCCTACTCACTCCGACTACCTGCCCCCCAATCCTCCCAGGAAGCAGGTCTGCTCCATCACCCTCACCTTTAACTGCACCCTCACAAATGCACAGACTCCCACGTAGAACTTGCCATTGTTGAGGTCAACAAAATCTAGGAGGGGGAAAGAGAACCAGCTGAAGAGGATCCCTGTGACTCACCCATTTTCCTCTTGCTGGCAACCAAATCCACCTGCCTTACCACACCAAAATAAGCAGACAGCACTGCCAGGAAGTATACTCACCCACATTCTGCTGTGTGATGGAGTGCGCCCAGCCATTGTAACCAAACATTTCATTGGCCAGACTAATTACCTTGTGACCTTCAATGTAACACACCTAGAAAAAGAAATTTTAAGGAAAAACTTAGTTAAAATTTCTTGGCTCTGTGTCTTCTATACAGTACCACTGGTCTACATGTCTGTTTTGGTGCCAATACCATGCTGTTTTTGTTATTACAGCTCTGTAGTACAGTTTAAGGTTTGGTAATATGATGCCTCCTGCTTCACTCTTCTTGCTAAGGATTGCTTTGGCTATCAGTTATCTCATACTAGACAAAGGTGCCCAAAACACACATTGGAGAAAAGATAGCCTCTTCAACAAATGGTGCTAGGAAAACTGGAAATCCACATGCAGCAAAATGAAATAAAACCCCTGTCTCTCACCATGCACAAAACTCTCAATTCAAAGTGGATCAAGGACCTAGGAATTAGACCAGAGACCCTATGCCTAATAGAAGAAAAGTAGGTCAAATCTTCATCATGTCAGATTAAGTCCTGAGTTCTTTTTAAAATATTTTTTTAATTGCAGATGGACACAATATCTTTATTTTTTAAAAAAATATCTTTTTAGTTGTAGTTGAACACAATACCTTCATTTTATTTATTTATTTTTATGTGGTGCTGAGGATCGAACCCAGTGCCTCATATGTGTTAGGCGAGCACTCTACCGCTGAGCCACAACCCCAGCCCACCTTTATTTTTATTTTTTTATGTGGTTCTGAGGATCGAACCCAGGGCCTCACACATGCAAGGCAAGTGCTCTCCACTATATCCCAGCCCCTAGGTCCCGAGTTCCTTAGCAAGACTCCAAACAATCAATGAGGTGAAGAGAAAGCCTACAGAGTGGGAGCAAATTTTTACCACACATTCATCAGATAGAGCACTAATCTCCAGGATATTTAAAGAACTCAAAAACGTTAAAACACACACGCAGCAAAAAAAAAAAAAAAAAAAAAAAGATAATCTAATCAATAAGTGGGCTAAGGAACTGAACAGATACTTCTCAGAAGATAATATACAATTGATCGACAAATTATGAAAAAATGTCCAACATCTCTAGTAATTAGAGAAATGCAAATCAAAACTGCTCCAAGATTTCATCTCACTCCAGTCAGAAGGGCAGTTATTAAGAATACAAGAAACAATTAAATGTTGGCAAGGATATGGAGGAAATGGCACACTCATACACTGCTGGGACTGCAAATTGGTGCAACCAATCTGGAAAGCAGTGTGGAGATTCCTTAGAAAACTTGGAATGGAACCACCATTTGACCCATCTATCCCACTCCTTGGTCTATAACCCAAAGGACTTAAAATCAGCGTCTACAGTGACACAGCCATGTCAATGTTTGTAGCAACACAATTCACAATAGCTAAACTGTGGAACCAATCTAGATGCCCTTCAATAGATAAATGGATAAAGAAACTGTGGTATATATACACAATAGAATATTACTCAGCAATAAAAGAGAATAAAATTATGGAATTGGCAGGTAAATGGATGGAGTTGAAGAATACCATGCTAAGCAAGTAAGTCAACCCCCAAAAAACAAAGGCTGAATCTTTTCTCTGATAAGTAGATGCTAATCTATAATGGGGGGGAGTATGGGATGAGTGGAGGAACTTTGGATTGGACAAAGCAGGGAAGGGGAGGAGAGGGGGCATGGGGATAGGAAAGATGGTAGAATGAAATGAATATCATTACCCTAGGTCCTTGTGTGATTGCACAAATGGTGTGACCCTACTTTGTGTACAATCAGAAGCGAAAAATTGTGCTCCACTTGCTTTTTTTAAAATTAAAATTAATTTATTTATTTTAATTAGGTATATAAGATACCAGAATGCATTTTGATTCATTGTACACAATTGCAGCACAACTTTACATTTCTACGGTTGTACATGATGTAGCGTCACACCATATGTGCAATCACACATGTACCTAGGATAATGATGTCTATCTCATTCCACCATCTTTCCTGCCCCTATGCATCCTTCCTACCTTCCCTCTCCTTTGCCCAATCAAAGTTCCTCCATATTTCCCATGCCTCCTCACTCTCCGTTACTGATCAGCATCCACTACTCAAAGAGAACATCTATTTGTGTACAATGAATCGAAGAGCATTCTGCTCTCATGTATGACCAATTAGAACAAATAAATTTAAAAAATTAATAAAAAAAAATTTCTTGGCATATTTAATGTAAATAAAAATTTACTTAGTCCTTTTGACTAAACTATTTAGAGAATTTTTTTTTTTTTTTTTTTTTTTAGAATTTTAATGTTTATTTTTCAATTATCGGCAGACACAACATCTTTCTTTGTACGTGGTGCTGAGGATCGAACCCGGGCCGCACGCATGCCAGGCGAGCGCGCTACCACTTGAGCCACATCCCCAGCCCTAGAGAAATTCTTAATGAATGTATTTCAAAGTCTCTTCCAGTTATAAATAATGGTCTGTCTGAAAGTAGTTACCAGCCTCAGAGGGGAAAGATATCCACTTTCCTAACAGTTTCCAAAACCCACATTTTTCAAAAAGGTACAAATCTCAGGTTAACATATTTTATGGAAGACCAAAAACATATGTGGCAGTTACTATTAGAGGCTGGGGGTGTAGCTCAGTGGTAGAGCAGCTTGCTTGGTATGCAGGAGGCCCTGGGTTTCATCCCAGTACCACAAAAAGAGGAGGAAGAGGAAAAAGAAGAATTAGTAATAGCAGCAGCAGCAGCAATAGTAATAATACTACTAGTAGTAGCAGTAGTAATAAAATTAGAGGCAAATGACAAAGGGAACATTTTTTAAGGACTTAATAAAAATCTTAACATGGCAGTTATATGTCTCAAGGCAATGCTTGGGCCACTTCCTATGACAGTGAAGGCTGGAACCCATCCATCCAAAGGCACTAGGAAACATCCAGTAATATGAATAAGAACCTTCTGAATCCATGAGGACCCAAAGGTGGTAAGATCGTCCAGGCATGACGCCTCCCCTACCTTCTGGCCTCCTCCAGCCATGCGGCTACTTATGTATTCCGGGCCCAGCCTCTGCCTCAGAGCACTCTGGATGGCCTGGTACTCTTCTGCTGTGTACTGGCACTACAATCCAGAAGGGGAAACCAGATTTAACATTTCCACCATTCCTCACATCAGTGAGTCTCTTTTGCAGCACCCTTTCCTCTTAAAAAGTATTGAGCACACAAAGTACACATAAATCAAAACATCACATGGTACCACATAAATATGTATAATTTTAATGTATTAGTTGAATTTTTTTAAAAAGTACTGAGGATCCCAGAGTTTTTGTTTATGTGGGTTATACCTATCAATATCAGGAATTAACTTTGAGAAACTTTTAAAGGCACACATTTTATTAGCCATCAAAGCAATGATACCATTACATTATACAGTCTAAAAAACTCCACTGTTCACTCATGAAAGAAGGTATGTGAAAAAGGCAACCAATAATGTTTCATTAATGTTACTATGAAATTAATTTTGACCTCATAAGACTCGGAAAAGGTCCTATTAACCCCCAAGGGTCCCAGAACCAAATTTTGAGAACTAATGAGTTACCAGTTACTGCTACCCTTATTAAACTTTTTCAAGCTTAAATTAGGTTTTTGGGTTTAGAGTTTTTGTTTGTTTGCAGTGCTAGAGATGGAACCCAGGGCTACACACAGGCCAGGCCAGTGCTCTACACTGAGCTATACCCTCAGCCCTCTCCAGCTAAATCAAGAAATGAAACTTCCCACCTCAGAGTCTATATATGTTTAAGCAGGCAAGGAAGTAAGGAAAAGGAAAACAGAATAGGAAATCTTACCTCCATTTGCACTCTCCACTTGTAGTTTGGGCTTTTTCCCTTATCTTTCTTTCTTTCTCTGTGTGTGTGTGTGTGTGTGTGTTTGTGTGGTGCTGGGGATCACCAAGGGCTTTGTTGAATGCAAGGCAAGCACTCTATCACTGAGCCACACCCCAGCCCCTTTGCCCTATTTAAATAAAATAAATATTTACCAATAAACTCTAGTAAAAAGATAATTTGGGCGGACAAAGAAAGATTCTCTTTTCCATGCATAGAATAAGACGTGACTCCAATAATTTTGGATGTCTCCCAGAAAGCCAACTCAGTGACATACAGACAGGAGTAATGGGGAAGTTGAGAGACCTTCCACATACAATCTTTGCTTCATTTTAAATTTTATGTCATATTAATATGACAAAATCTCTTTATCACATGAATGAATAAATATACACCTAAAGTACGTCTTTTATCTTTCAATGGGAAAATGCCAAAATGTACTCACAATTCAGCAAAGACCCCTAAGTAGGCCTTCTAAAGGAGAAACCAGGTATGTTGCTCAGTGATAGAACACTTGCCTAGCATAGGCAAGGCCCTGGATTCAATTCCCAGGACAAAGAAGGTTGGGGGGGGGGGTGCCAATTACAGTAAGAGCTTATGCATGCATACCATTTCACTATAACTTTTCTAACTTAACCTCAGTCTTTCCACAGATGAAAAAAAAACACCGTTACCTGTCCAAAGCACAATACAGAGTTGCCACCAACAGGAAGATGGCTGTCATGCCCTCCATGATTTGTTTCCTCGGTCGCAGACATGTTGATTCTGGTTAGCTTCTATATAAATAAAAGATTTTTTAAAAAAGTGGATTTCAAAGAATGCTAAAGATAAAAGGCAAGAAACTCTACTAAAAATCAAATAAAAACCCCATGTGTGATATCTCTGAGTTGCTTTATTTATGTGCTTCTAAAACTGCTCCAATAAAAGACAAGATTCCTCAGTGGTTAGCTGTGTTCTGCCAAGCCACTGAAAATCCTTTAGAGTCTGCTTCTACCTTTTTGTTAACATTTTTCTCTTCTAGTGATGCTATTAAAAGTGTTCTTTACAACAGGAATATATTACATTTACAAATGAAAAAATCAGCAGGTGTAGTGGCGCACAGTGAAGGCTGAGGCAGAAGGATCACAAGTTCAAAGCCAGCCTCAGCAATTTAACAAGACCCTAAGCAATTTAGTGAGACCTTATCTCAAAATAAAACATAAAAAGGGTTGGGGATGTGGTTCAGTGGTTAAGTGCCCCGGGGCTTAATACTTGGTACCAAACCAAAAAAAAGAAAAAATCAAATTTACACAAACACTTTCTAAGGGAACGCAAAAAATCACCTTACTACTGCCTAAAAGGGTAATGTTAGGTGATGGATGTGGTAAACACCTTGATTACTTGTAATCACTTCACAATGTATATCAAATCTTCACATTGTAGCTGACTGTGTGGTGTACACCTGCAGTTCCAGCTCCTCAGGAGGTTAAGGCAGGTGGATCACTTGAGCCCAGGACAACACAAAGGGACTCCATCTCAAAAAAAAGAAAAAAATCATCTTGTATACCTTATCTTTTTATTTGTCAGTCATACTTCAATAAAGCAGGGAGATGATTCTTTAATGTTATTAAAAAAAAAAAAAAAAAAAAAAAAAAAGAATTACCTACTGCCTAGGCAACATGACCCTGATCTCTGGCGGGTGGAAAAAAAAATATGAGCCACATGACTGAACTGTTGTTTTCCAGTTTACACACTAGCTGGAGGAAGAAGACTAATTAAAAGGAAAAAACAGAGCCAGGAAATAGGTACAAGCCTATAGTCCCAGCCAGTCAGGAGGCTGAGGCGGGACTGCTTGAGCCAAGAAGTTCAAGACCAGCCTGGGCAACACAGTGAGACCCCACCTCATAAAGAAAAAGAAAGGAAAAAAGATCAAGGGGAGGCAATATATAAGATCCCTAACATTCAGAAAGAACAGAAATAGCAACAAGCCAGTTTAAACCCTGGACCAGCAGTACTTAGCAACACTTGGGAAAATGCAAATTCTCAGGCCCCATCCCAGACATGCTAAGAAACGCTATGCTTCAGGAATTACTGAAAATGGTAACCTGGGCTTCAAGAAGAATTTCAGGTGATTCTGCTGCAGGTTTAAGTTTAAAAGCCAATGCACTAGACTGAGATTAGGCAAATTTAATAAAGTCCACTAGAAAATAGAATTACCCTCAGAAAAACCATCCACACTGATTGACCCACTACCTAACAGCCCTACACCTGTTTCAAATGAAATTGTTTCAAAGTTGAGCCTCAGCAAATTTACATATTTTTTAAATTTTTTTTATTTAAAGATGTTGATGAACCTTTATTTTATTCATTTATTTATATACGGTGCTGAGAATTGAACCCAGTGCCTCACACAGGCTAGGCAAGTGCTTTACCACTGAGCCACAATCCTAGCCCCAGAAATTTTACATATTTTAAATCTTCAGATTATTTGCTAATAGAACTACTAATCTATGATTGTTGATAGTACACTAATCCATCTGGCTTTATATTAATGTTTAAGAGTTCAAGTTCTAGTGTGGAAACCTGGCTCCATCACACCAGTAGGCACTTGACCAAGGGAAAGACACACAATCTCTAAATGATATTTCTTCATCTTTAAAATGGAGATAATAGTAGTACCTACATGTCCTATAGCTATTATAAAGAATAAATGTAATACTGCATGAAAGTACATTAGAATAGTGCCTGGCACATAGTAAGTACTAAATAAATGTTAGCTACTAAATAATTTCATGTTGATTTTCCTTGCATACTTTATAATGAAAATGCACACAATTATTTAAATAATCATAAAATATTTCAGCTAAAATGATAATTTATAACTTACTAAAAACTAAGATACTGGCCTAAAAATTAAGATAATTAACTAGGTTAGTCAATAATTAGTTTCTACAACTTTTAAAACAAGGAGTGGAGGTCTGGGGTAATGGGTACACTAACTACTATTATATGGTCATTACACATTGTATACATGCATCAAATATCACACTATCTCATAAATTTCTAGTTATGGGTAAATTAAATTTTTAAATACTTTAAAAGAAAGAGGGAATAAGAATATTGTTTAGAATGTCAATATAATAAATGCCATGTTGTCTCAGAGGCATGGGACTGGGGTGGGGAACAGTATAGAAGGGGTTTCTACAAAATAAAACTTTTGGTAGTATTTCAGTGTTCACATATGTGCATGTATTATTTTAATAAAAACTTAAAATAAAAAATAAAATAAAATAAAAAAACTTAAAATAGCCAGGCACAGTGGTGCATGCCTGTAATCCCAGCAGCTCAAGAGGCTGAGGCAGGAGGATCTCGAGTTCAAAGCCAGCTTCAGCAAAAGTGAGGTACTAAGCAACTCAGTGAGACCCCATTTCTATGTAAAATACAAAAAATGGGGCTGGGGATATGGCTCAGGGGTGGAGTCCCTGAGTTCAATCCCCAGTACTCCTCCCCACCAAAATTTTAAATATCTATTCTATAAAGCAGAAGTCAACAAAATTTTTTCTATAGTGGACCTCACAGTAAATATTTTAGATTTTCTGACAATATAGTCTGTCACAGGTACTCAACTCTGGCAGCCAGGGCTGGGGATGTGGCTCAAGCGGTAGTGCGCTTGCCTGGCATGCGTGCGGCCCAAGTTCGATCCTCAGCACCACATACAAACAAAGATGTTGTGTCTCTCTTTCTCTCTTTAAAAAAAAAAAAAAAGAAAGAAAAGAAATAAAAAAGAATCATGTCATAATGCTATATTTAAATATATTTTTTTTAAAAAGTGTGAAAGCAGCCAAAGACGATACATAAATGAATGGGCATGGTTGTATCCTATTAAAATTTTATTTAAAAAAACAAAAGGCAGATTTGCCCACAGGCGATGAGATGCCAACCACTGGTATAAAGCATGTTTCAAAGTGTAGAGTCAGATATGTTAAACAGCCAGCTCCATCAGGTAAGCTATGTAAATTGGGGAATAATTTAACCTCTATCTGCCCCAATTTCATTTGTAAAAGGAAATATTAATAAGACCCTCCTAAGTTGACTACACTAAAATGATATGATAATAGCTTACAAGAGTAATTTTCTATGGATACTAAATAGTTGTTGGACAAGAGGATAAGCACAAAGTTTCAAATGAACTGTTATCTGTTACAAACAAAGATACCCACTTAGTGTATGTACTTAATGCCACTGAATTGTGTACTTAAAAATGTTTAAAATGGAAAATTTTATGTTATGCATATTTTACCACAATAAAAGTATAAAATTTATCTCAGTCAGGCCAGGTCTGATGCAGCATAGTAGCCTTGCCCATCTTATAGCTGTGTCATCTAGCATATGTGGCCTCCAAGGTTATCACTGAAGGGGTAGAGAGAGTTGGAGGAGTCACAACAGATCACAGCTGCCAAAGTCCAAAAGCGGCATGGATCTCTTCTGGTCACAGTACACTGAAGAAAACCTATCACATACAAAGCCCCAACTTAACTGCAATGGAGGCTGGGAAATGTAAGAATGCATTTGAATATTTGATGAGTATTATCTCACAATCCATTGCCCCTCACTTCAAAATGAATCCCAAGAAGACAGGGAATCTTATTCTTCTTTACCAGTGACTAGCAGAGATCCTGGCTCAAAGCAGGGAGTCAAGAAGTGCTTGGTAACAGCTGTTGTCTAAGTAAATGAACGAATGCCTAAATCAATGAAAAAATGCACAATGCAGGATATAAAAAGTACATTTTAAAATTTTATTTTAAGAGTTACATTTCTCACATTTGAAAAGACAGTTGTTTCTACTTTTTTAAACAATCTTAAAAGATTCATCCTTTTCTTGAAGAAAAATACAATCTTATCCCTACCATAAAGTAAACATGGTATCTTTTCTTTTTTTGCTAACTTCTTTTACTTCGAAAAAAATTTTGTTTTGCCTTCCTTCCTACAATTGTCCATAACCATTTTCTCATTATAAAATTAAAATATTTTTACTGTAAAAGGGTTTAAAAACTTATCGATAACTATGGGAGAAAGTCAAATTCCAAGGGATCCCACCACCATGGGATAGCTGTTATTTTCTTTTACATGTGACTGGGTATTGTATGTGGGTACATATTTGTTAAATACAAATGGAATCTAAATACATCAGACATTTTTTATGCAACATCTCAAATCTTCTTTGGCCTTGCCAATTTTGAGGCTATTGTCTTCACCCCAGGTGTCATGGACTAACAAAATATATGTAGGTCTAACCTCCAGTACACAGGCACAATCCTGCAATCTTTTACTTCCTTCGTGCTGGATGCCTCTCACTTCCCACCTTTGGCTTCCCTCTTGCCTTTGAGGGAGCCTATGAGATCCCACCTGATACCCACCTACACACAATTTGGATGCTCCAGGGAGTTAATGTACCATGAGACAAATCTTTCTCCAATGACAATACAGAAGCTGAGGGGTAAATTCTCTTGGTGTATTGTCCTGGATGCAGTACTTTATACATCCTCCTGGGAGACAGCTTTAGGTCAAGCAATCAGTTGTACTTGTTACCAAGGGGTGGCCAACTTGGAAATGCACCCTTGAGTTGACTTAAACTTGCTTCTCTCTTCACTCTCCTTTCCCGCCACCTCTGCTTCCTGACAAAATAAGAGCACATAAATTTTTGCCTCAAGCTCGAGGTTCTAGGTTATCACAGCAGACACTATAGACACTCAAACTGTCCCTTCAGCTCTTACCACTCTGGCCTGACTTCTAAATGCCAACATCTGCATCTCTTTAACTGAGAGTTTTCCTTGGCATCCACAGCCTATATTTCCCCCATGTTCATGGCAACTTAGAAGTGCCTGAAAGTTGATTCCCCTTGTCAGCAACCCTCAAACTATGACTGACAGGTGCTGGTGTTCAAATACCCTAAGTTTATTATCCTTTCTGTAGGATGACACTGAGCCAGGACCTCTATGTTAGCTCCAAAGTTCCCCAGTGGAATTTGGTGTGGTTAGAACTGGCTTGATACCTTATCTTTTGCTGACTGTCTTTCTGTTCCTATCTTATGTCCCCTTTCCTCTATCAAGAGTGTGCTGGTGTCATCTTCAAATAAACTACTGTTCTTGCAGGTAAAGAAGGAGGGGGGTAAAAGACTCTTTTTTACAATGGAGAAATCTGGCAGATATCACCTCAATTAAGTATTCAAACTTAATGTAACTAATAATAGTCATATCATGTGCTTCCGGGTGGATTCTCTGAAAGGTCACATCACTTAGACATCAATCTAATTCATAGCTCTACCAATCTAATCACTCAATCACTCAATCAGGAAATAATTAGACATGCTGAGGATGTAGCTCAGTGGTAGAGGGCTTAAGTTCAATTCCCAGGACTGGGGGGGAAAAAAAAAAAAAGGACATGGATGACATGTCAACAGAGCAGTGCGGTATAAATTTCATGTGGTGGGCTGGGGATGTGGCTCAAGCGGTAGCGCGCTCGCCTGGCATGCGTGCGGCCCGGGTTCGATCCTCAGCACCACGTACAAACAAAGACGTTGTGTCCACCGAAAAACTAAAAATAAATAAATAAATAAATAAAAAATAAAATAAAAATATTTAAATTTCATATGGTACTGACATAAGGATTAACCAATAGGATAAAAGAGAGCCCAGAAATTAAGCACTATTTAAACTGTCATCTTAATTTCAAAAATGCAGTATAACAGCATTTTTGATAAGTGCTGCTAGAATAACTAAACATCTGTAAAGAAAAATTTTAACGTTGTCATACCCCATAATATTCACAAAACCTACTGATGGCTCATATATCTAAACATAAAAGCTAAAACTATAATTTTAAAAGAATATATTCACAAACTGAAAGTGGTCAAGATTTCTTAGAAAACAAAAAGCAGTAACTATAAAAGAAAAGCAGGTTGCAGGATAGCTTGGTAGCAGAGTTTGTGCATAGCATGCATGAGGCCCTGGGTTCATCCCTAGCACCCAGAAGAAAAAAGAAAATAATAAATTGACTACATCAAAATGTAAAACTTCTGTTTATCTAAGAAAATGGGTAGATAACTACTACCAAAGGACTGATATCAGGATAAGAAAGACATATAAAGAATTCTAATGACTCAGTTAAAAAAAAAAGACAACCAATTTCAAAGTGAGCAAAAGATTTAGGGGCTGGGATTGTGTCTCAGCGGTAGAGTGCTTGCCTCACACGTGCAAGGCCCTGGGTTTCATCCTCAGCACCACATAAAAATAAATAAATAAAATAAGTGTACTGTGTCCAACTACAATAATAATAATAATAATATTTTTAAAAAAGATTTAAGTAGGCACTTCACAAAGGAAGATATGTCAATAACAAAGGAAGCAATGTCAGTAACAGGAAAAAAGTGCTGGACATCATTAATAATCAAGGACTAAAATTAAAACCATTTAATGACATCCCACTCTACATTCATCAGAATGACTAAAAATAGAAAAAGAATTACAACACGAAAAGTTAGCAAGGGATGTGAAGCAACTGGAACTTTCATACACTGCTGACAGCAAATAGGCTAATAAAACCATTCTACCTGCTAACACATACTATCCTTCATGAAAAAGGAGGACTCCAAAAAACCAGCCACAGTCCCAGAGGGTCAAGCAGCAGATTCTTCACAGGCCTTGAACCCCACTGGTTCTTAATATATCTCAGGTATAAGTCCTTTCTCAGATTGGTGTCTGTTTACCTATTCATTTTCTTAGAGTTGTCTGTGATGAAAAGTTTTAAATTTTGACATAATCAGGGTTGGTTGGTTTGGTTTTTTTAGTGATTACTACTTTAAGCCCTAAGATACCTTTTCATACCACCAAGCCTCAGATCATCGAGATACTTTCTTATACTTACATCTGCCATATGACCCAAGAATTTTAATAGATATTTTCCCAAAAGAAATAAAAATTCCCCCCCCCCCAAAAAAAAAAACTTGTCCTAGGAGGAAAAGAGCCTGGACAAGAAAGTGGCTGTGATCAAGAAACGAATGAATTCAAGATATTAAAAAGGTAAACAACTAGTATGCACAGGGCCCTGGATTCTATTCCCCAGCACCAAAAAAAAAAAAAGTAAACAAGACTGGGAAAAAAATGTGCTTTTATTCTTGCCCATTTCCTTATAACTTAAAAGCATTTCTAATTAATTATGGAAAGAGGAAGGAAGAAGTAAAAGGGAACAAGGCATGTTACCAAAAGAAATTTTCCTCTTTTATATTACCGCTTCTCATCTTTATTAAAGACAAAGAAAGGCCTGATCTTGAAGGGTAATAGGAGCCACCATAAAAAAAAAAAAACTTTATTTTGTCAGCCATGAGAGAGTAATGGAAAATTTTAAGGTAAGAATAACAAGATTATACTTAAAACTTAGAAAGCCCTTTGTTAACAGTGAATAACCAACAATGAATAGCCAAGGGAGAGATCAGTTAGGAGTCTACGTTATAACAACCCAGAGAGGAAATGAGAAAGGCTTAATTACAACATTTGTACGTGAAACGTAAAAGATAGACTCTAGTTCTGTATTAAAGGAGGTAGAATTGTTGAGACTCAGAGATTAATGGGATTCTGATTGTGAAGACCAAGAGCACCTTGATGAGAAGAATGGGACATTGAGTTTCTTTCTTATATTTTAATGTATGTTCATACTGCTATAACATTGTAATGTATGTTCATACTGCAACAGAACAGAAATTTTTTTAAGTTAAAAGAAAGAAATCTCAAAGGTTCTCAAAGGTCCTCAAAGGTCATTTCTTGCTTGAAGGCTTATGCATCTCAGCACACTCTAAAGAGAATTAATACTATGTTTCCTTAGCATTTTAGATGTATTTCAAAGCATATACCACACTATAATTACATCTTTGCTGTACTAGCACACTCACCCATTTAAGAACAGAGGGGTCATACACTAATCACTGAATCCCCAACAATTAGCACAATCACCACACCCCACACACAGAAGGAAAAGCATTCTATTTTAGCTTCTCTCCAACACTACTTAAACAGAATTAAAAATGAATGCCTTGAATAGAAAAAACAGTTAAAGTTATAGAAACTTAAAAATACCAACACTAGATTTTCTGCTCATCAATAATTAAACTGGTTATTCTGTCAATTCTCATTATTCACAGTACTTATGTTCTAAACAGCCACCATGAACACTAAATTAGTAAATACTAAACCAATTCTCCAAGGAAAAATAGAGTTGCTCAACATGTCAATAAATAACTGCTTTAGGTGTTTCTGTTTAAAGACACCTTATTTATTTATTTATTTATTTATTTTTAAATATTTATTTATTTATTTTTCGGTGGACACAACATCTTTGTTTGTATGTGGTGCTGAGGATCGAACCCGGGCTGCACGCATGCCAGGCGAGCGCGCTACCACTTGAGCCACATCCCCAGCCCCAAGACACCTTATTTAATATATATCATTAATACTGAACTCACAGTCAATATCAATACAACCCATGCCTGATAAATTTGTCTGAAAGAAACTTATCTTTTCCCTGTAAAGCACATCACGGCCTTCTTGCACTTAAGAATGCTAGACAGCACTCCAGCACTATGCTTGGAAACCATTTTAAAAATGTGAAACCAAGCTGGGCTCGGTGGCACACATCTGTAATCCTAGCAACTCAGGAGGCTGAGGCAGGAGGATCGTGAGTTCAAAGCCAGCCTCAGCAACTTAGCAAGGACCTGTCTCTAAATAAAATACAAAAAAAGGGCTGGGAATGTGGCTCAGTGTAAAGTGCCCCTGGGTTCAATCCCTGGTGCAAAAAAAAAAAAAAAGTGAAACCAAGCCAGACACAGTGATGTACGCCTATGCCTATAATCTCAGGTACATGGGAGGCTGAGGTAGGCAGATCACAAGATCCAGGCCAGCTTCAGCAATTAAAAAAAAAAAAAAAGTGGGGCTAGGGATGTAGCCCAGTGATAAAATACCACTGGGTTCAATTCACCTTACCAAAAAAAAAAAAAAAAAGTGGGGGCACAAAAATCCAACAAACAGGTTACTAAGTATACCACCAAAGGACACTTAGGAAAGCTTCATCTTGTTTGACCTCAGCTGAGAATATGTGCATTAGTCAACTCAGATTTTTAACAACTCTGCACACTTTAGGAAAGCATCAAGAGTACTACTGATTGAGGATTACAAATAAATGTAAAGAAGTAGATAAATTCACAAATACAGAATCCATGAGTGATGAAGACTGACTAGTTATTTTTAGTAAAATCTCTCCCATTGCTAGATGAATTAGGCTTTTCATATGCTCATCTCTTAACTACACCAGTTTATATTGGATGTGAAAGTGCCATGAAGCTTACATTGCATATATAATACTGGGTGTAGTCAGAAATTAGCCATGGGATAACATACCTGGGATAACAGGTCTCAGCATACATTACACAACAGCAGTTTCTGACAGTTTCTGCCACCTTCAGAAGACATGCCACAAATACATCTCCACTTGTTATCAATATTATTAATAGTCTGATAGGTGATGAACTGGGAATATAAGGCTTTTAAAAAAACAAACTGCTCTAAAAGACACAAACCTGTGGCCACTGAAATGCCTGACCCAAAACCAGAGTCAAACGATGGTTTTTGAGAACTTAAGCTTAAAATGTTTGTGCCTGCGAATGCTAGTTCTGTGGGGGAATTAAAGACCTTAAAAGTCTATGAAACCACCAATGTCCATCAGCTAAGGGAGAAACAAAATGTGGTATATCCATACAACTGATTATTAGTTCATAAAAAAAGAATGAAGTCCTGATACATGCAAAATACAAAAAGTATTGAAAATATGCTACATGAAATAAACCATACAGGAAAAGACAAATCTTGTATGATTCCATATATATACACACACACATATATATATACACATACATATATGTGTATATGTGTATACATGGCTGGTAATTTCATAGACAAGAATTGTAGAAGGGTGATGCGAAATCAAGCCAGACACAGTGATGAATGCCTGTAATCTCAGGTACGTCTCTGCTAACTAGCTTCTAGGTTCTTTTTGAGTGATGAGAATGTTCTGTAATAAGAATTCGGTGATGGTTGCACTACCTTGAGCATATACTAAAAACTACAGAATTGTACACTTTAAGCGCATATGTAATGAATCGTGCCTCAATTTTTTTTTAAGATCTAGAAAGGCTGAATACATTGCTAAACTAAATGTCAAAAATTCCCTTTAAATCCACTATTCCTTCCCAACTTCCACCTACTTCTTCTAACTCCATTCGGATACTGACACTCCTGTCAACAAACCGCATTTACAATGTCTCGAGCTGCGCAGGGAACTCCACAAGATCCGTATGCAGCCTTCCACCCTGGGTCCTGGCGCACGTGATTCGTGAGTCACGGTCCTCCTAACCAAACTGTCGAGAAGCCCAGATCCCCGAGCCCTTCCGGACGGCACTAACCAATTAGACAGGCGTAGCCATTCAGCATCTCTAGTAGGAAACTCAGGACAAATTCAACAGCCTCCCCAAGAGCTCCAATCCGAATCTGAGCGGTCCTACGCTCTACAATCCCCGGGCGGAACCACCCGGGGGAGAGCCGCCCCCACCCCTCCACCCCTCCACCCCTTCCTCACTTCCCCACTTACGCGCCCCGTGCAGCGCGCGGTGCACCCGGGGAACTTGGTCTGGACTATAAGCAAATGGAAAGAAGGTTGGACAAGCTGGCAAAGGAGACTGGGAAAGAGTTGCAAGGGACCCTGGGAAGAAGGTTCAAACTCTAGAGGGGCCCTTGTAGAGTTTGGCGAAGAAGACTGAAGGTGGAGGAGCCGTAAATCAAGTCGGAAAGACAAAAGAGCCGTAAAGCAACCGGTCGGATGCCGTAAAACAAGTTGGGCGCGCCGTGCGGATCCCTGCGTTCCGCGTTGGCTTGGCTCTCCAGTCTTTCCGCTTACCCCTTTCTCCAACTTCCCTAACGTTGCTTCTGGGTCTGCGGCCACCTCGCAGTACTTGTCGTTGCACTCTTGGGATATTGCAGGAAAAGGAAACAGGACTTTTCTAAGAATGCTTATCGGAACCCTCCAGAGAATCCACCGCGGGCAGGCACAGTAAATTGAGGCGGTGGGTACACATTTGTTCACAAAGGAAGTCTTCTTGCCCGGTCACTGCCGCATACGCCCGGTGCTCACCTGATGGCCTCTTAAATTAACGAGAACCCGAGGGAAATGACTCGGTGGCCACTTGAGGGAGTGGAGGTCTTCTTTGGCTATCCCCGGACCTTCACCTTGGAATGAATGACGATTACACATCCTATTAGCAGTGCTCCTAAAACGTTTTGAAAAGTTTAGTCGTCAGAACCTGAAGTTAAGTGCAGACGGTTTACGATATTTGGGGCTTACAGTGGGGTAACGTCCCCATCATAAATCCAGTAGCGTCTGTACTGAGAACTGAATTTTTTTTTCTTTTTCTTTTTCTTTTTTTTTTTCCTTCAGAATTGAACCCTGGCGCGCTTAACCACTGAGCCACATCCTCAGCCCTTTTTTATATTTTATTTAGAGAGAGGATCACGTTAAATTGCTGAGGCTGGTTTTGCACTCAAGATCCTCCTGCCTCAGCCTCCCAAACCGCTGGGATTACAGACGTGGGCTACCGCGCCAGGCAAAACTTTTCAAAAAGACATGTATCTGGGCAGTACGTCACCAGAGACTTTTTCTGGATGGCTACTCATTCTTCCAAGTAACACCATGGAATGCTGGCTAAAAAGTCTCAAATCAGAACCAATGAATAGCTTATAGTTTGTTAGAAGGAATTTCATATCAACTGAGATAGAAATGTTGATTTTTAAATTAGTTAACCACTTAGGGAGAAAAGTTAGATTTGTCGTTGTTCTGTGTTTATTTTTGTTCTCTTGCTTTGGATTTTTCAGGCCTCATTATGTGTCCTAGTTGGTCTAGAACTTATGGTCTCAAGATATCCTCCTGCCTCAGCCTCCCAGTATCTGGAATTACAGGCATGTGCCACTGCACCCCAACTTTAAATCTTGTCAAAGTGTACATCCAAGTAATTACAGTGGAATTCAAGGGTGAAATGTTAAACACAGGTACACATAAAACAAGGTTAAAAACATATAGTCAAATAAACTGTTAAAAGGTAAACAAGAGGTCAGGGGTAGAGTACTAGGCTAGCATGCATAGGGCTCTGGGTTCTATTCCCAGCACTGCAAAGAAAAAAGAAAACAAGAAAGAAGGGAAATACTACTATTATATATATATACACGAGGGTTCATATGTAAAAAGTACAAATAATAAGAAAAATGAGTCAATATTTCATAAAAGGAGATACATAATAAATACAAAAAAAAATGTAACTTTAATTAAGGTAAAAAGCATATGGGCTGGGGATATAGTTCAGTTCGTAGAGTGCTTGCCTTGCATTCACAAAGCCCTGGGTTTAGTCCCCACCCAGCACCACACACACACACACACAAAGCATACATATTAAAACAAGAATATCACGGCTGGAAGTGTAGCCCAATGATAGATTGCTTGTAGTAAGCCCCAGGTGCAGTCCCTAGCACCACACAATAAAAGAAAGAAGAGGTCTGGGGTTGTGTCTCAGTGGTATAGCACTTGCCTTGTGCTTGTGAGGCACTGGTTCAATCCTCAGCACCTCATAAAAGTAAATAAATAAAGGTATTATGTTCATTTACAGCTAAAAAGAAAAACAAATACATGTGTATACATATACTCGTATATATGTATACACACGTATATAGGTATATATGTATTCCACTTATTAAATTAAGAAATTGAAATATTTATGTCTACACAAGTTTTACATGAGTACCTTCCTATTGAAAATTTAAGTAATATAGATAAATCAAAATTTTTACTTGTGCACTCATGCATCAAAGCAATCTGATTCTCATCGATTAGCTATTGTTATCAGTTGATGTCTATTTTTTATGACCTTTCCTGTGCTTTTATGGTTAGACATTGAAATTTATTTTTCTGGTAATATTCAGCATTGATATTTTCACACTGCCAGTGGGAATATGAATCAGTGCAACTTTTTAAGTTATAATTTGGCAAGATATGTTTAAAATATGAAAGTGTGACTGTGGTGCATACCTGTAAACTCAGCCATTTGGGAGGCTGAGGCAGGAGGATTGCAAATTTGAGGCCAGCCTGGGCAACTTAATGAGACCCTATCTCAAAATAAAAAATAAAAGGCCTGGGGATATGGGATATAACTTAGTGGTAGAGTATTCATTCTCTCTGGAATTCCTTTAGGACAAAGATTTCTTTTTCTTTTTATATATTTATTTATTTTATTGTACTGAACCCAGGGGCACTCTACACTGAGCTACATGCAACCCTTTGTATTTTTTATTTGAGAGAGGTCTTCCTAAGTTGCCCAGGCTGGTCTTGAACTTAGAATCCTCCTGCTTCAGTCTCCCAGGTAGCTGGGAATATAGGTGTGTACCACCTCTCCAGGCAAAAGATTTCTTCATAAAACTGTTCTGCACATTATTTATACCCTGAAAATGTACTCAAAACAAATTACTGCAATGTCAAATTAGTTTAATATTCAGCTATTTAAAATAATGTTTAGAAGAGGGGCTGGGGATGTGGCTCAAGCGGTAGCGCGCTCGCCTGGCATGCGTGCGGCCCGGGTTTGATCCTCAGCACCACATACAAACAAAGATGTTTGTGTCCTCCGAGAACTAAAAAATAAATATTAAAAATAATGATAATAATAATAATGTTTAGAAGAATGTTTATTGACAGAAAAACGTTCAGGATCATTTTCTGTGAAATAGGCACTACTAAGATGGCTACTATTATAGTACGCGATTGAACCCAAGGACATTTAACCACATTCCCAGCCCATTTTTTTTCATTTGTTCTAATTAGTTATAAATGATAACAGAATGCACTTTGATTCATTGTACACAAATGGAGCACAACTTCTCATTTCTCTGGTATTCATTTCCCTGGTTCTCTGGTTGTACACACCATTTGTGCAATCATACATGTACCTAGGGTAACGTAATGATGACCATCTCATTCCACTATCTTTCCTACCCCCATGTCTCCTCCTCTCCCCGCCTTCCTAAAGTTCCCCCAGTCTCCGCCCCCCACCCCTCATTATGGATCAGCATCTACTTATCAGGGAGAACATTTGGACTTTGATTTTTTGGGATTAGCTTATTTTGCTTAGCATGATATTCTCCAACTCCATCCATTTACCTGCAAATGCCATAATTTTATTCTCTTTTATTGCTAAATAATATTCCATTGTGTATATATACCACAGCTTCTTTATCCATTCATCTATTGAAGGGCATCTAGGTTGCTCCCCCAGTTTAGCTATTGTGAATTGAGCTGCTATAAACATTGATGTGGTTGCATTACTATAGTATGCTGATTTTAAGTCCTTTGGGTTATAGACCAAGGAGTGGGATAGATGGGTCAAATGGTGGTTCCATTCCAAGTTTTCTAAGGAATCTCCACACTGCTTTCCAGTTTGGTTGCACCAATTTGCATTCCCTCATACATCCTTGCCAACATTTATTGTTGCTTGTGCTCTTGATAACTGTCATTCTGACTGGAGTGAGATGAAATCTTAGAGTAGTTTTGATTTGCATTTCTCTAATTACTAGAGATGTTGAACATTTTTTTATATTTTGTTGATCAGTTGTTTATCTTCTTCTGAGAAGTGTCTGTTCAGTTCCTTCGCCCATTTGTTGATTGGATATCAGTTTTTTTGGTGTTAAAGTTTTTTAGTTCTTTATATATCTGGAGATTAGTGCTCTATCTGACATATGTGTAGTAAAAATTTGCTCCTACTCTGTAGGGTCTCTCTTCACTTTGATTGTTTCTTTTACTGAGAAGAAGCTTTTTAGTTTGAATCCATCCCATTGATTGATTCTTTTTTCTTTTTTTTTTTTTTTAGAGAGAAAATTTTTTAATATTTATTTTTTAGTTTTCGGTGGACACAACATCTTTATTTTATTTTTATGTGGTGCTGAGGATCGAACCCAGCACCCTGCACATGTGAGGCAAGTGTACTACCGCTTGAGCACATCCCCAGCCCCAATTGATTCTTGATTTTATTTCTTGTGCTTTAGGAGAGTCGAGACCTAATCTGATGTGATGATGATTTGGGCCTATTTTTTTCTTCTACTAGGTTCAGGGTCTCTAGACTAATTCTAGGTCCTTGATCCACTTTGAGTTGAGTTTTGTGCATAGTGAGAGATAGGGGTTTAATTTTATTTTGCTGCATATGGATTTCCAGTTTTCCCAGCATCATTTGTTGAAGAGGCTATCTTTTCTCCAATGTATGTTTTTGGTGCCTTTGTCTAGTATGAGATAACTAGATTTATGTGGGTTTGTCTATGTGTCTTCTATTCTGTATCATTGGTCTATATGTCTATTTTGGTGCCAATACCATGCCTTTTTTGTTACTATAGCTTTGTAGTATAGTTTAAGGTCTGGTATTGTGAGGCTTCCTGCTTCACTTTTCTTGCTGAGCATTGCTTTGGCTATTCTGGGTCTCTTATTTTTCCAAATGAATTTCATGATTTCTTTTTCTATTTCTATGAGAAATGTTATTGGGATTTTAATTGGAATTGCATTAAAATCTGATTAGCACTTTTGGTAAATTTTGTTTAGCATGATATTCTTGCAAATTTGAAGCCAGCTCAACAGTGGCCATTTTGAAAATATTAATTCTCCCTATCCAAGACCATGGGAGATCTTTTCATCTTCTAAGGTCTTTTTAAATTTCATTCTTTAGTAGCTGTA